TGAATTGCGCAGTTTTGTCGAGTTTGTGTCCTATTACCGACAGTTCATTCCACAGTTTGTGACAATTGCAAAACCGCTCCGTGCTTTGACCGCTAAGAACCATAAGTTGAGAAGGGGGAGGAGGAATAAGATGCATTCGTTGCGCTGCGTGATCTCCTTTCCAACGCGCCTCCCCTTGACTATCCATATTTCTCCCTGCTATTCAAATTGGACACAGATGCTCGTGACACAGGCATAGGGACTGTCCTATCACAGATAAAGAAGAGGGTGGAAAGAGTGGTTGCGTATGGGAGCCGCGTCCTGTCCACTGCATAGCAACGATACTGTGTGACCTGAAGGGAACTTTGGCTATGGTGTACTTTTTACAGAAATTTAGGCCTTATCTTTATGGCAGGGACTTTGTAGTCCGCACGCACCATGCAGCCCTCCAGTTCTCTTTGAAAATTGACCAGCCTTCCGGCCAGCTTTCACACTGGCTGGAAAAACTCCAAGAGTACTTATTCCGGGTAATTTACTGAAAAGGTCTGCGGCACTCTAATGCGGACGCATTGTCCCGCTTGCCGCTGAGTGAACATTGTGCATGTTCATCGGGCACGGGCCGATGTAGACCACCCTTGGCAGTGTCACCAAAGCTCGGGGCGACGTTGAGTGACGCAGAACCGGCCAAGGTGGTCACACCTGGGAACAACACGTTGGGTTTCACGCAGGCCGAGTGGGGACGGCTGCAGGTAGAGGATGTGCCATTGTTGAGCTTGCGGCGCCGCGCTGAGTTGAATCGCAAAGACCCTGCTCATTGGGGACTTCGCAGGTAGTCCCTCAGAAGGACTTTTGATGAGGTGGGATGAGGGGCTGCAGCGTCACGGCATGGTGGTTCCCACTTGCCTGCAGGGTCGGTTGATGCGGGTAGTACACGAAAATAAATTGTTACACCTCAGGGTTCCAAAAACGTTGCTATCTCTGCAGCGAGATTTCTATTGGCCAGGAATATCGAATGATGTATACCATCTGGTAAAGGGCTGCACTGATTGTGCACACCGAAAACCCCCGTTGAGAAAAGCCCAGCACCCGTTGCAGTCCATCACAGTGTTTTAATGAATTGGTTGCGCTTGACATTCTGGGACCTTTTCCAGCTACGATACAAGGAAATAAATTTATCCATTGCTGATGCATTTTTGCACGACTACGTAATGGATAAGGGAGCCCCCGAGCAGCTTCTTACAGACCAGGATCGAAATGTTTCGTCCAAGCTGCTGCGCGACGTGTATTGATGCACTCGGCACTACGAAGATTAAAACATCCCCATACCATCCTCAAACAGATGGTATGGTGGAATGCCTCCATAGGACTTTGACATCAATGCTCTGTCAGGTGGTGAATGAGGCACAAACTGATTTGGATTTGCACGTGCCAAGGGTCTTGGCAGCATACAGGAAGGCCCCACATGCCTCTATGGGATTTTCCTAATTTTCCTTATGTACGGGCGGGAAAACCAACCCCCCTATAGACACTCAGCTGGATATGACCTCGGGGAAAAAGGAGGTAGCCATCCCCGCACATCTGCAGGTTACGTTGGGATGCATGTCAGAATCAGCTAAGGAACGCACTGCCAAGGTGCAAGCTGCTTATGAAAAGATCGCGGAGCGGTGTGAGCACGTGCTTCTATGGGAATCGGGGACGGGGCATGGCTACACTGCCCACAAGTACCGCTGTGGACGTCCCCCAAGTTGCATCAGCCATGGCAAGGTCCTGTAGAGGTGGTAAAAATCAAACGGCCACGGTGTGTATGGATACAGGCAGGACGTCGCTGTTGGTTTGTTCACCCCTCGCGCCTGAAGCCATATGTTCATCTCCAGATAGACAACTCATGCCCAAGTCCTGTTCGGCCAGTGTCTGGTGTGTCCGGCGAGCCGAGGCAGTCGGCCACGAAAGGTGTGCCTCACAGAAAAAGTGTTGTGCCGTCCACTGAAGTCTGGGGAATCAGCAGAATCCGCCATGTGGGAAAGACTGCCGGCTGGAGCCAGATCAAATTCTTCCAAAGATTCCAGGGATGAGCCTACCCCTTCTAGGCTTTTGTGCAATGCCCCAATGTCCGAAGAGGTGCAAGATGCCGCCCAAGGCAGTGGACCGGCGTCAAGAACCTGGTCAAAATGTGGAAAATTCTGATATCGGAGATCCCATGTTGTGTAATTAATGTCAGAGTCGTGTGTGGGGGAGGTGTGCATCTGGCTATGCTTTCGGCAATGTATTGGTAATTGTCGTTATCCATCGAGTTGGTTCGGACCACCTGCAGTGCGTTGTTGTGCTAACTGCGTCGGGATCATGATCATCGTACGTCGGGTTATTTAAAAAAAATATCTCCTCTCATTGCGGATTGTTGTTCTTCCCGTATCACGTAGTTGATTTTTAAAAAGTATTAGCCGGGACGACTATCTTTTTAATGGGGGGGGTGATTTAGAGATAGTGTGCTGACTAGCGACCAGAAGTGGTAATTGCGGGTGTGAGAACAGTATGGGCAGAACGAAAGACAGATACATGGGAGCGACCACAAGGGGGAATATCTGGGCCAAGGGTCAGAGAGGGGATCCATCTGGGAGTTCCCAGAACCAGCTGGAGAGTTTGAGAAAGGGGGCGTGGCCAGGGTTGAGCCACAGCCACGCTGGGAAGATATAAGCGAGCGAGGAACTGGGTTCTGGGCTATCGTGAGGGGTCGGAGTCCTGGTCATTGTCGCTGTCATCTTCGTCGTCGCTGTCATCGCTTCGTCTTCATCGTCGCTAGATAGTCAGCCAGCTCTCTAGTCAAGTGGGGCCATAAAGCTAGACTGTTAGCGTTTTATTCCGTGCTACCGAGTCGTAGTCGTGTGAGTGTGAGGAAATAAAGGAGAAGCCTCTGCAGTTTATGTCTCCAGAGTCGTTCAACTACATACTTAACAATTTTAGATTTGAAGTTTTCGTGACTGCAAGGATCCATACTCTTTGGTTCTTTCGGTAAAGTCACGTAGGTAAAAAATTAAATAAAAATGAAACAAAAAATGAAAACAACTCAATCAAACCACAACGTTTCAGATGCAATACAAGCTTCCGTCATCAGGTGGAACAGCCACAGCAAAATTACTGTGGTGAGTAGAGACAGCTATTTGTGATAAGAGATTATATAGGGTAAGAAGGGGGGAGGAGCCAGGGAGGACGGATTGGGACCCTGTTGACAACATGACAGCCTCCTCTGCTAATTAATTGTCAACCAAATGTAAAGCTAACTTGATCGCTAAATTCAACCTCCTATCAAAGAAAAAACAGAACCACACATTAAAAAGTTAGATGTCAACAAAATTGTTATCAATCAGAGTAACATCCCAATTTCTAACAATCTAAAATCGGTACGAGCTAAAGGGCTGAATTTCGCAATTACCCCTAAACATATTCCAGTGGAGGATATGATCTCCCAGGGCGATGTAGCCCTCAAAAGCTTGGGACACATCCAAACAGATGTTGCTAGAGCTGAGATTGCCACTGTCCTCAAAAATGCTAAGAAACCCATTAGCAACATTAGCAAAAATGAGCGCTCTGAACTCGATTCCGATCAAAACCATCACGTTACCCTACATAGCAGGCGTTACCAAAAATATTTCCAAAATTCTAAACAAACACAAGATCCAGGTCCGATTCAGTACAATACACAAAATACGTGATCTAATCCCATCCGTAAAGGATGTCATTCCTGACTTACAGTACCCTGGTGTCTACAAACTGAGTTGCATGTGTGGTGATTGCTATATTGGGGAAACGAAGCAACGTATCTGACCGCATTCACGAGCACAACTCAGATTTGAAACACGATAGGACAAATTCTTCTGCTGTGGCTGATCATTGCTACCAAAGTACTCTGCAAGCCATCTGGATACCACCAAAGATTTGTCCATGAATCCATCCAGATATACAAACATAGTCGTAACTTCAACCAAGAGGATGGTTTAAAATTGAGCATTCATTGGAAGGATGTTATTAATCAAGTAAAACTTTAGCTGCTTTAGAGTTTATATTCATATCCATATCTCCGGTCTTTTACTCCCAGCCTTACACACTACCATCACTAGGAAATTTGACGTGCAATGTTTCAATCGTGCAAATTTGTCCCCCATCCCACTCTCCCCCGCCCCCCGCCGCCCCCCGCCGCCCCCCCCCCCCCCATCCGTTGTACATGAGTACCATGGCCAGGAGCTTCAATAATCTCCGTCCCCCAACATTCACCCCCCTCCCTACCCTGCATCCGTCCTCCCTGGCTCCTCCCCCCTTCTTACCATTTATAATCGCTTGTCACAAATAGCTCTCTCTAATCACAATAGTATTTTTTACTGTGGCTGTTCCACCTGATGACGGAAGCTTGCGTTGCCTCCGAAACGTCGTGATTTGATTTAGTTGTTTTCATTGTTTTTTTACTTTTTACCAACGTGACTTTACCGAAGGAACCAGAGTATACTTAACAATATTAAAACATATTCTTAGTTTTTTCGGTAAAGTCACGTTGAAGAGAAACAACAAAATAACAAAATATATATAAAACAATAAAAAATTCTCACGACGTTTCGACCATAACTCAAACGGTCATCATCAGGTGTGATGACCGTTTGAGTTATGGTCGAAACGTCGTGAGAATTTTTTATTGTTTTATATATATATTTTGTTATTTTGTTGTTTCTCTTCAACGTGACTTTACCGAAAAAACTAAGAATATAATATTAAAACATTTAATTCCCACTCACAACCAACATCAGTGATGATAATCTGAATGGGTCCTGGGCCTCTCCTAGGTCAACTCGGCCTCAAATGAGTACCTGGTGCGGTGTGTGTAAACATCGCTACTGTTGAGTCAAAGGCGGCCTTCATAAACGCTGTGAAGGCAGGCCATACAGGGGATGGTTGTCGTGTATGTTTTTGTGTGAGTGCGCTTACATGCCCCCTTGTGTGTGAAATTGTTGGCATCCATTATGCGCTTTCCAACAAACAAGCCAGCATCATCGGGAATCAAGGCAAGTTAAGTTAAAACTGATTTTTCTTTCTATTTACCAACATTTATTTGGTATGTTATGTATAATATAGTATTTATTACAGTATAAAATGCAAATGTACAATATTTTTTATGAGTTTAACAATGTTTCCCTTTTAAAAACGGTAAAACTATTTATAGCAATGAGTTATGTGCATTTAAATATAATACATTTTTGACGACCGTCTTATAAACCGTTCGACTTATGAACAGGTGATAAGTCGAGGGCTGCCCATATATTTGACAATATTAAAACATTTAATCCCCCTCACCACTTCCCCCACAACAACAGACGAACTTAATAAGAGCGCGTCCGAACCGATGCAATCTCTTGCGGATGGTTGGTGATTGGGATTTGGGGACCTCAATAATTTTTCTGCACTGTCCATGTCACTCTGTACCATGGCTTTCATTTGTTCAGCATCGTGAGGCTTAGAGTCTGCCTTAACCGTGCTCTCGGACTCCATTAGAGGGTTAACAGTGTCGTCTGCGTTTATAGGCAGAGACAATATGGAGCCCATGCTCGTCTCGGCTCCATTTTGGGTCGCCTCATCGACTGCCTCAATTGAAATATGAAATTCCTCAATATCCAGAGGCTTGATGTCCGCATCAATTCTGGTCTCCGACTCTGGGAGGGGGTCAGCAATTGATGCTGTCGAAGACACAGCAGTGTTCACATCTTCCACCTGAATGCTGCATTTTGTGGTGGATGTTGAGCTAGTGGCTGTAGGCATCTCCACATCCAAAATGGTTCCGGCGCTTAATGCAACAGAAGCAGAAGCCAGGAAGGCGTCAGTCCTTGGCTCAATTAAGGGGACTGCAACGGCGGCTGGAGATGGAAGGAAAGTGGCAGTGGACACCTTAGTGGCCAAAATGGGAATTGCCACTCCGGAAGAGCTGCTGCAAAATGATTCGACTGGAATTTGGCCAGGAGAAGTAAGTTGTGGAATTGAGGGAAGGTGGCAAGGTGCTGGAGCCGGGATGAAGAAGTTGTTGGGGTCCGAATCCAGCCAGCATAATTTGTAGAGGTCCATTGTCTTGGAAGGGATGTTGTAGGGGTCCAGAATAGGGAAGGTCTTGGTTGCAGGAGCCAGATGGGAGTTGATCTTGCATGCTGGTGCCTGGTGAAGTCCAGGTGGTGGAGCTGGAGCTGCACTCATCCATGGGTGCTTGAGAGCACTTTTCGGAGTTAGACGGTCATTTGGGTTCCAGCTGAAAACAAAGAGACAAGTACCGATGAGAAGATCAGCAAAATATACATACCCAAATTACACATTATAGTGATACAATAAACTTACATCCACTTGATAAAGTATCTATTAGCGCGTTAAATGAAGATACAGTACTGCATTTGCCCTTTCATTCTTTACCTAGTTTCTTCTGCAGAGAGATGCAAGAGAGCTGTACATTGCAAAGGGGATGCATATTCCCTTATGATATAGAAATTTACTGGAATTTTGTTACAGTTGAGGGAAACTCAAAGAGTGGAACACTCACCATAGGATGGAGCTGATGAAGTCCAGGAACAATGGGTCTCTCGTTTTCAGAAACTCCTTGAGCGGGCAACACTGAGGGGTCTCCTGCAGACATTCCTTGGTCAGTTGCCCAAAGAAGTCTGCAGTGGGTACAATCGCAAACGATGTCATGCATTAAAATATTATTCATGTGCACAAGGCTGTGATGTACAATGAAGGCTGTGAAGGACGTGGGGAAACAACCCAACTTTCACGTCATTGTGCAGCCAGACGAGTGATGTTATAACACCTAATCGCATATTAAAAATAAAATTTGCAGTACTCACTGAAATACCGAGGACCGTCTGGTGCAGCGTGCAGCATCTCAAAGGGTGGTGTTCCCACAATCTGAAAATGAACGATACATTTGATCTCATGTCACTGGCGAGTTAAGAGGCGTTTTCTGTACGTACTTGCATACATGGTTCGTATCATATTGATTAAATTATTCATTATTGAGTAATCACTTGATTTCACGTAACATGAAGCTGTTTAAAATTGAATTTGTACTCAAAGTCAAATGAGCATTGAGGCAGTGATCATAGCCTGGCTGCAGCCCTGAGTCAGTGGTAAAACTCCATTCATACGTCACAGGTGAATATATCTCTATGACAACCAATGTCGACTTCCCTAAAAAGTAGTACTCATTTTATCGACACTGTAGGGCTGAATAAACCCCAACCAGATTTAAACCCACAATCTATCGCTAATAAACATACAAAATTATAAAATTAATGTTACCTTTGTGATGCCAGCGATCTCCTGACTCTCGCTGCTCATTGACATCAGTCGTTTGCCGACAGATATCTCAGCTAGTATGCACCCGGCAGCCCACATGTCAATTGATGTTCCAAACGGCTGGCCCAGCAAGACTTCGGGAGCGTTGTATCCGGGCGTCCCAAAGAAATCATCAGCTGGAGAAAAATAAAAAAATACAATATTGCTTAGGTGGCCTGTAGGAGTCATAGTTTCACTAAAAGAATCCCCAATGTGTTCGCACCCTGTCCTGCATGATATGTGACAGTTTTCAAGTTTCAAGTTTTCATTTATTAGGTATAGCCCTGTGAGCCATGCGGCTCTTAAGTCGGGTGCAACCGCAACAAACAGAATATGACAGGACGTGATTTTACACGGAAGTGGACATTCCCAATGCACGGTTGTGAATTGGAGGTCGTAAGGAGTTGTGAGCATTCCCTTAATACCTCGTGTGGAGCTACCATGCACAGGCATCACTGCGTGATGCCTGTTCACATCAGCATCGTTCACGCAATTTGCATGAACGACGCTATATAAAACACAAAATTATTCCAGATAACAGGATCTGTAGGAATATTTAGAAATGTGATGATGTGTATAAATGTATATAAAGTGTAACTTACGAAATTCAGATTCAAAAAAACTTCCTCCGAAGTCGGCCAATCGGATGGCTGCCGTGTGGTGATCTTTCACCAAGATGTTTTCCTGAAAAAATTAAGAAAACGGATGCATTATTTGTATTGTATTTAACCAAATGAGAGTCCATTAAGATGATTCCTGTCTGTATGGAAGAATGGCGTTCATTTTGTGCACTGTACATCTAACGTTATAAGTGTAAATGAATTATTTCTCGAGTCGGAAGCAGGGGGATCAATAATTCTCGTAAACATGATCCAATACAACATCTTGTACTGAAGTTGGTCATGAAAACAAAACACTTATAATGGGAAGAATTGACATGGCGACTCTTCTCATCGGCGCGAACGGAGTTGTTCCGCAATTCAGGATGGTAAAAAAAAGAAAAACCTGAATAATTACGTACAAGAATGAAAATAGGGTCACGGATAATTGGTGTTTCTGTGGACTCTACAGCTGCCATGGATAATGGGAGTCATAGGTAATATGATCACGGATAAGAGCTCTTCTGTATGAGGCAGCTGTGATGGGAATTCAACTGGCCACCACGTGGCAAAGAGCTACAGGTGCATGAGGCGCATACACTGCTCGATATGTTTAAAAGATCACCGTAAAGGTGCAGGCCTGCAATTATTTGCTCACCCCTCTACTTCCAGAAAGGCCTCCATCATTGAGTAGGTCGAGAGAGCTACTTAAATGGTTTTGGGCTACTCGTATACACAGCCAAATGTCTAAAAGTGGTCGGAGTACCCACACTTTACGCCACCACTTGTGACTTTGTGATGAACTGTGTTGTACTTATTTATCCTTCTGGGTGTATAGAGGTGGTGGGTGGGTGGGTGGTTGGAGAGTTGGGATTTCAGAACCTGTCCACTGTTGCAATTGCCAAGCCGGGAGATCAAATTTAATCGATTCCCTCTGGGTTTAAAGTCTAGTGTGCTACCCATGACACCATGGCAGCGTCCCTTAGACCTGCTTAATTCCTCTAAAAGAAATGTAATGATAAACCCTTACCAGCTTGAGGTCCCCATGGACTACGCCGTTCTTCTTCAGGAAGGCCAGCACTTCCATCAGGGATCGGGCGTATCTCTTGACGGAGGACAGAGTAAATGCTCCGTTCGAGTTCACCACGTCAAAGAGGCTGCCCGCGCTGACAACGGAAAACGTACAACACACAGAGTGCAGGATGGTTAATTAAACACAGCATCAAGCACAAAGGCACCAGCACATCCACACATGCACGGCAAGTCCTAGAACACTAAAGGTGAGGTAAGACATTCGAGGTGTAACAATGCATGGAATGCGTGCTGACTGCAGATAGTTGTTTTCTTTTTTGCAAACTGGTTACGAAATGGTTAATGCATCTGCTTCTTAACAATGCAGTGTAGCTAAGCTAAGGATTGAGCACTGATCGAGATGAAGCAGCTGCCAAGCTTGTAGTTTTACACATCCTGTAAGTGTCACGCTTGTAATGGACTTAGTGTTCTTACTTGATGTAGTCCAACACGAGATAATGGTAATCTCCCACGACGAAGTTTTCCTCAAGCCGGATGATGCTTTTGTGTCTCAACATCTTCAGGAAGCCAGCCTCGTTATATACTTCTGCGTCCGTGACGCTGCGTGAAGAAATACAAACACTTCTGAGAATGTCGAAAATAGGATCATTAAAATAGAATGCTTCATGTCGAGGTAGGCACACGTGAGTTTGTGTTGCAGGAAAACTTTTCAGTGAAGATTGTGATTCACAATCATGACTTGGTCTCTCACCTTAATGTGGAGTCAATCATCTTGAGGGCCATCTCCTTGTGGTTCCTGTGGTCCCAGCATCTGAACACCTGGCCAAATGTTCCTTCACCCAGTTTTTCCAAAACCGCATAGCGATTGTTGAGGAGATTTGTCGCCATCTGGTCAAGAGGGAGTGGTGCAGAAGAGTGCAAGCAATCAGTACAAGTGGCCGTTTTGACAGTAGTTTCCTAACTCCTCATTACTCTTTAAATTGAAATTAGTTTCAATAAAAAAAATCCACATGGGGTTAACTCAACCCGGCATGCCCCTTGGGTTCATTAAATAGGTTCGACTTTTACAGTCTACAGAGGTTGTCTCATGGAGATAACTGGTCATGGCCAGAGAAACGTGGATTTGAGTAAACTTGCTAAAGGCCACCAGTGGAGGTTTTGTGGTTTTGTGTGAACAGACACTTTGATGATTTACATGAATCAAGGCTCATTAACGGGTTATGACTTTAAATTGGCCAAATAAGTGCTCAAACGGTGCTGGACAATTGTTGCACCCAGTCTCTTCAATTGTAAGCAAGTACAGCCCTGCAATTGCTTGCTCATACAGCTTATGGTGAAAGGGCCTCCACGAGAGGGATCTCTATAGAGTAGTCTATCTGCTCTTTCCCCCTAATGAGACGTATTGATAGAGGTGGGAGTCGCCACACTCGACCACATCACACACGACTTGCTGCCAAACTACCACCTGTGGTGTAACATTTTCACTTCGGGGTGAACAATAAATACACCCAAGAGGAGGACATCCGTGGAGATGGAGCAATGAAATCAGCTCGTTTTTAGATACTAGATGGATTGTTGCATCGAAGGACTTGTGGGAGATGGTAAAGGTTTATCAGGCCTTCATCCACCAATGAATTGATCATGTCTGATGATAGCCTTTATTTCCTGCTTGCATACATTCAGCAAGTTCACAACATTTCTCTACCTTATTTACTCCTCTCATATCGCTGAATAGGTATCTTAAGTTTGGATATTTTGTCAACTCTCTTTCATAGTTATTTCTTGCCTATATATCTCATTCATACTATCTCTTCTCTACAACTCCTTACACCTCTAAATCTTATTTGTATCTAGTTTTATCTAATTGTACGACTTAATTTTGTCCGTATCTCATATCATATCCCTACATGTCTTTCTCTTGTTTGTGTCCTAATTTCATCTCTCTGCATCACCTATGTAGGTGTGATACACACGTGATGAAGCTAATTCACAGGCATAGGTATGCAGTACAGACAGGAAAAAGAGCTCCATAGCTCACCGGATTTCTCCAGCATAAATAAAGATTCTGATATCTTTGATTTGAAGCTTTCGTTACTGCAGGAATCCATACTCTCTGGTTCTTTCGGTAAAAGTCATGTAGATAGTAAAAAAAAATAATGAAAGAAATCACGACGTTTTGGTCGCAACACAAGCGGCCGTCTTCAGGTGAGAAAAATTATCTGCTGTTGTGGTTTTATATAGGCACGGGGAGGAGGAGTTTGGCTGTAGGGGTTAGGCACGAGAAGGAGGAGTTTGGCTGTAGGGGTTAGGCACGTCCATGCACATCACAAACCCTCCCCCTCTCCCCTGTGAACCTCTACAGCCAAACTCCTCCTTCCCGTGCCTAACCCCTACAGCCAAACTCCTCCTCCCCCCCCCCCCCCGTGCCTAACCCCTACAGCCAAACTCCTCCTCCCTCCCCCCCCGTGCGTAACCCCTACAGCCAAACTCCTCCCCCTCCCGTGCCTAACCCCTACAGCCAAACTCCCCCCCCGTGCCTAACCCCTACAGCCAAACTCCTCCCCCCCCCCCCGTGCCTAACCTCTACAGCCAAACTCCTCCCCCCCCCCCGTGCCTAACCTCTACAGCCAAACTCCTCCCCCCCCCCCCGTGCCTAACCCCTACAGCCAACCTCCTCCCCCCCCCCCGTGCCTAACCCCTACAGCCAAACTCCTTCCCCCCCTGTGCCTAACCTCTACAGCCAAACTCCTCCCCCCACCCCCCGTGCCTAACCCCTACAGCCAAACTCCTCCCCCCAGCCCCCGTGCCTAACCCCTACAGGCAAACTCCTCCTCCCCGTGCCTATATAAAACCGCAACAGCAGATAATTATTCTCACCTGAAGACGGCCGCTTGTGTTGCAACCGAAACAGTTCGAAACTAGTAATTTTGGTCTATATAACAGCTTTATGTCTTCCTTAATAAATAAAACAGGTCCCTGCAGGGTGGGCTGGTAGGAACATTGGAATTTTGCGCAATTTTATTACACCTAACAGCACGAGATTTCACTTCGTTAAAGTATTGAAAGGGGACGGACGGACGGACACATTAATCTATTGCAGGCTGGTACACTCAGTTTACAACTTCGTTCCTACCAGTATCAGATAACGTATAGTGTAGTGTGTAGTGTATAGTGTAGTGTATAGTGTAGTGTAGGTAAATTGTAGCATCCAAACTATGAAGAAAAGTGTGCTTGGGTAGGACACGTGGCTAGGAGGGATGTCGATATTTAAGATAAGTCGTTGTTTAAGATAAGTCGATGTTTAAGATAAGTAAATGTTTAAGATAAATCGATGTTTAAAATAAGTCGATGTTTAAGATAAGTCGATGTTTAAGATAAGTCGATGTTTAAGATGAATCGATGCTTAAAGTAAGTCGATGTTTAAGGTAAGTCGATGTTTAAGAATAAATCGGTGTTTAAGATAAGTCGATGTTTAAGTGGATGTTTAAGATAAGATAAGTCGATGTTTAAGATACGTCGATGTTTAAGTCGATGTTTAAGATAAGTAAATGTTTAAGATAAGTGGATGTTTAAGATAAGTCGATGTTTAAGATAAATCGATGTTTAAAATAAGTCGATGTTTATGATAAGTCGATGTTTAAGATAAGTCGATATTTTAGATGAATCGATGCTTAAAATAAGTCGATGTTTAAGGTAAGTCGATGTTTAAGAATAAATCGATGTTTAAGATAAGTCGATGTTTAAGTGGATGTTTAAGATAAGATAAGTCGATGTTTAAGATAAGTCGATGTTTAAGTCGATGTTTAAGATAAGTAAATGTTTAAGATAAGTGGATGTTTAAGATAAGTCGATGTTAAAGATAAGTAAATGTTTAAGATAAGTCGATGTTTAAGATAAGTCGATGTTTAAGACAAGTCGATGTTTAAGATAAGTCAATGATTAAGATAAGTCGATGTTAAGATAAGTCGATGTTCAAGATAAGTCGATGTTTAAGATACGTCGATGTTCAAGATAAGTAAATTTTTGAGACAAGTCGATGTTTAAGATAAATCGATGTTTAAGATAAGTAGATGTTTAAGATAAGTCAATGATTAAGATAAGTCGATGTTTAAGATAAGTAAATGTTTAAGAACAGCACGAGATTTCACTTCGTTAAAGTATTGAAAGGGGACGGACGGACACATTAATCTATTGCAGGCTGGTACACTCAGTTTACAACTTCGTTCCTACCAGTATAAAATAGATTCTTACCTTGCGTTGAGAAAAACAAAAATATCTTGAAGTTTGGAGACGCGATTCTGCTGCACGCGGCCGTCGTGGGAGCCCAATCGCGTCAAAGTAAAGTCGCCCCGCCCACGTAATGACGCTACGCTGCCCAGCCCCTCCCCCTTCCGGCGTAGCCACGCCCCTTCCAAACTGTGGCCCCGCCCTCCCACGCCACTCCCCCAACACGGGCCCCGCCCCTATAGTGTCCAATGTCTCTCCCACTGTCACGGCTTCTGTACATAGACGCCCGCGTTCTGTATAAATATATTTCCACAACTCTGTACATTTGTAAATATATACACGGAGTTAAACATTTCTGAACATAGATTTTAATGTATTTAATTCAGTGAATGCATTGTGAACTGAAATATAGCTTTTGTGTTATGGTCGAAACGTGAGAATTTTTATTGTTTTATATATATTTTATTATTTTATTGTTTCCCTTCAACGTGACTTTACCGAAAGAGCTAAGAATATGAAATATAGCTATTAATATGTATATCCCTGCTAACAGCGTCAGTTATATTTTAAAAAATATATAATAATATAACTTTTTTGCGACTGTTTTTTATTATTGTGTTAGAGTTATACCAGCGATAATTGATCTAAATTATATGCGCTATGAAGAAGGGCCATTTCGCAGACTATCCGTTTTCCTTTTCAGCGGTGTTAATGGCGAGTGTGTTGAGTTTTGTTTCGTGTTCGTTTTTGTTTGGCTGTTTTTGCTATAATTTATATTTTCTGCACCGTTGTACATGTACATGTTTTCACTCTATCGCTTTTTTAGTTTTTTCGGTAAAGTCACGTTGAAGAGAAACAACAAAATAACAAAATATATATAAAACAATAAAAAATTCTCACGACGTTTCGACCATAACTCAAACGGTCATCATCAGGTGATGACCGTTTGAGTGAGAATTTTTTTATTGTTTTATATATATTTTGTTATTTCTCTTCAACGTGACTTTACCGAAAAAACTAAGAATATGAATTACTGCAGTCACGAAAGCTTTAAATCAAAATTTCTATCGCTTTTGTCATGTTGGTGACCCAGGTCTTGCGCTCTTCTCACCTGGTGAACCTAAACGTCAAACCCAATCAACGAATCGTTCATTCTTTACACATCGATAGACACCCCTGTATCTTGTTCAACTTTTCCATACCTTAATTTTGTAACCTAATTACGACCCAAACTTGATTTGAAGCTTTCGTGACTGCAGGAATTACTCTTTGGTTCTTTCGGTAAAGTCACGTAGAAAGAAAATAAAATAAACAATAGAATGACATTTCGAGTCCTATTCGGCCGTCTGAAATGCTTTCTTTACGATATTAGGAAACCACTGGTGATATGCACTTTTAAATCTAGATTAAAAACTAACTTCTAAAAAAAATGTGTTTAGTTTGTCCTTCCCCCGCATCTTCGATTAGCACGGTTGAATGCAGACGGTACGAAAGAAGTTCAACAACAACCTCCATTCGCCACTCCGTGGCGGTGACATCACCACGGTGATTATGCCAGGCGAAGTGCACTTTAAAGTGAGGCGACTGGCCGATGCACCACCTGTGCACCCAACTGTGCCCACCTACTATGTTTAGCCACCTGGCGCTTGCTCGGGTTTGTGAGCGTCGCTCCATAGCCCTCCGTTCATGCTGAAGGGCGACTGCCTCCAACTACCCAGTAGCGTCCTTCACAAGCCTCCTCCACAGAGGCCGATCTTGACACCGCTGGTACCAGTCATCGGAAAGCACACTTAGCTCTACATCCTCTTGTACCACATGATTACATCTCTTCTCGAGCCCCTGCCACGTCCATTTGGCCCCCTCTATCTGGCTGAACAAAAGCTATTTAGGCATGCGGTGGCTGTACATGCAGGCTCTATAACCCAGCCAACGCAGCCTTGCCTGCCGGAGCTCACCGATGAACTTTGTCGAGCTCTTTCAAGGATTTGTGAGGTCCTCACACAATCCAGCCTGGCTAAACCCAGGATGGATCGTAGGCATGCCAGCCTGAATGTGTCTTACTGGCGAAGATGTTCCATTGGGGGGGGGGGGTCCGCTTTTCCGCAAGAATACAGGAGGGCATGACGGTGGCCGTGAATACCCGAGGCTTCATGTGGAGCAACAGACCAGGAAGCTTCCACACAGCTTTACCCAGCCGATGAACAGATGCCACTCGACTGATTCGGAGTGAGACTTCTGCTATCAAATCGGAGCTGGTCATAAGCAAACTGCCCAGGTATGGAAAACTCTCCACTCTCTCGACAACTGCCCCATCACCAATCGGGAGTTGAGGGGGTGGAGTGTTTGATGGCACAAAATACCCAGCCAGGTGCTTAGTTTTGGTGGGGCTGATGGTAAGTTTGTAGCATGCTCCAGGTCTAGCAGCAGCGCTTCCAACTTCTTCTAAGTGAACAGCAATCACCAGATCATCAGCATATATAAATGGTTGACCAATAGGCAGCTATCCCTCGACCACATTGATCAGCCTCCCACTGTATCTGTACCAGATGGAGATTCTGCCAGTACAGCCAAGGAAGGCTTCTCGAACTACGTTGTCGAAAAAGATGTTAAATAATGTTGGAGCCACAGCACATCCCTGTCGCACCCAAAGGTGAACAGGGAATGGCTCTGACTCCCAGCCACGTAGCTTTACTCGGGCCTAACCACCATCATCAAGGTCCTTAATGATTGTGAGCAGTCAGGGACTCCAAAAGCATGAAGAAAAAAGTTCAACATTCATTACCACTCCCCACCTTAAACACCTACACACACAGCGACAAAAGACACGTTTGACAAAGTCCCTCCTGCAGGAGAGAAGGCTTAAAAACGTGAAACCAAATTTATTTTTACATCATTTCTTTGCGGTCTCCTTGTCAGCACCACAACATCCATGTGGAAACAAGTCATTAAACTGGTAATGCAGGGGGTGCAGGGTTATCAAAAAAGCTTGCGCTTATGTGTGCACATGTGAGTGCTAACATCTATGTTCATGTGATTGTGTGAGAGTGCATGGGCATTGCACGTGTGAAAACTTATTATTTACACGCGCAGGACATGAGTTTCTCATTATTTGATGGAAAGTATTAAAGCTGGTTTATCACTCATTTTGCTGGTGATGCTCAATGTAGCTGGCTGTAGCTGGTATTATCAGCTGTTAATGATAATGTGAGATGATGTTGGTGACACTGGGTGTGTTTTGGGGTGTTGCCGTTGAGTCTGGGTGTTACTGGCCACACAGGGTACTTGTATCCGTGTGTTGTTAACGTCGCAGTTACAGGAGACCCTGTGTGACTCGAGCAGTTGGTGTAAACTACGTGTCTTATTTGTACTCTGGTAGACTTTAGGAGTTGCTGTGAACTGTGTTGCTAGAATTTACTGGCCGAATAGATGTCGCTATTAACTCCCGTGTATTGTTAGATACTCCGGTTGACTCGGTGTTGCTGTTAACTGCGTGTTGTTCGAATTCGCCAGTTGATCCTGGATGTTGCTGTTAATTGCGTTTGTTGTTGATGTCGCCTCGTATCCATGGGAGACGTTTGTTGTCCGCCCTGCACCAATGCCAGTTCACTCCCCTCCAGGACTCTCACCGCCTCTCTTCACATCTTCATTTTTTCGGCCACGCCTGCCGGGAGCCTCCCCTGCATCACGGAGAAGTGAGCAACCGCGGGTCGCACTGGGATGAAAAGTGGAACACTCCTGACCCACATGCCGGCCGCTCAATATAGGACCACAGAGCTTGACCAATTGTTGGCACTGGTTCTGGTTGTTTTCCCCGCGTGTCTGTGGATTATCATGCATCCACGCGAAAACTGCATGTGTTACAAATTCTACCACGTTTAGAGATGGAATGTTCATGCAAGATGCTAAATACATGCAGAATATTATTTTTAAGATGTGGAGGGACACACACACACGTGGAAATGCAAGCATCAGGATTTGAGGACACAGATAGTGACCAGTGAATAAATTAAGAGAACAGCCGCCATTGAGTGATGTGACCGTAGCAGCTGTGCCAGGCTAGGTGCATTTTGAGATTATGGAACACAAAGTCACCCACATGGAGATATGCAGACATGTGCTTGGCACAGAGGCACATGAAAACGAATGGTTCTTCAGAAATATTATCTGGCGGGCTACAAAAAGTTAGCGATGTAATATCAGGTGCCACGCGTATATGTTACATCACATGACGTATTTACGTCATAACGTCAGCTATGTGACAGCTAACCACCATAGTTTGTCTCCAACTCTCATCCCTATCTCTTGTATATCACTTTTCATCTCACTAACCTGTATCTACAGGTTTCCACAGTTGATTCAGGTTTGGTTTGTGCGATTTCACGTATATGCGGATTACCTATTTCTCACAAAATTCGCTACATGTCTTTTGAACTCACTCTATAAGCCACTTTACGGTCAGATGTGACACAACATTGCATGTGTACGTATATACTACTCGGCAGGACGCTGTCTTGTGCGGTTTCACTTTGTGTGCCATTTTTTTTGGAACGTATCCACCGCATAAAGTGAGGGAAACCTGTATTTATACCTCGGCAGGCCACTACAAAAGCCTTCACGGGCCAGATGTGCCAGTGGGAGAACCCTGTGTGATGACATGTGCTATAACGCATCGGTGACACACCGACACGCACGGTAACAATGCTACAGGGGGGCACGTGAAGACACAAGCAGACACGAAGTACCACTGACACAAAGCAACACTGTTGACACCGTTGACACTGAGACACACAAAGGCAAGCAGATGCATGTGCAGACACAAAGGCATACGTATACACAGGAACACACGTGAAAATGCACGGAACCGTGATCTATGATCTAAAAGAAGACGCAGCATGCGTAGTGACACGGAGGGACATGGGGACATGCGGGGAATTAACCGAGAGAAGGTGGGACATTACAGACGTGTGGGTACACATTTAGACATGCGGCGACCCACAGGGACACACAAGGTCACGTGGGGTAAACATTTAGATATGCAAGGTCCGACGCGGACACAAAAGACACGTGAATGCACGTGGGGCGACATAGGTGATGGGAGAGGGATCTCCTACCGGCCACTGTGTCCCTGCATGTACGTCATGCCCCGTGCCGATCCTCTGAAGACTGTACGACCACTTTGCCCCCGCCCGCGCAACTTATGCTGCACAAACACACAACGGATACACGCAAATGTGTACTCAACATCAAACACACACACCACACAATGCGCGTTTATGCGCACAACAGACACCACGCACACGACACAAAAAGCACGCGGAGCACAAAGATTTAACACACTGCGCAATGTATTACACGACGTGTATCGTGGTAATGGTGGTGGGAATGAAGATGATGTTGACAGTGGTACCAATGAATGTGGTTATGATGGTGGTGACGGCATTAATGATGGTGTTAATGACGTTAAAGGTGAAGGCAACACTGGTTACAGAGATGATGATAACGGTGATGGTGATGAATATGGTGGTTATGACAGTGATCATGGTAGCGGTGATGGTGTTAAAAGTAGTAGAGATAATACTTTAGTTGTAGGAGTGATGGTTGTGTTATTGATGGTGATGGTGGTGGTGATGACAATGATAGTGGTGATGATGGTGATGAATATGGGAGTTATGATAGTGATGTTGGTAGCAGTGATGGTCATGATGGTGATGATGGTAACTGTAATGGTGTTGATGGTAGTGGTGATGGTGATAAAACTGTAATATTAGGGGTGGTGATGGTGTGATGACAATGGTAGTGGTGGTTATGATGGCGACGATGATGATAGCGGTGATGTTAAGTACGTACGCACCTTGTCCTGCCGAGTCGTGTGTCTGTTCTGATCTCTTCCTCGAGAGCACCCGGCTGGAACAGAGAACAACTCGCTCACTCGCCCACTCAAACTCGCTCACATTGACCTTCACACACCAACCCTCACACTCACACATTGACCTTACCTGTGAAGATGTGTGTGTGTGTGTGTGCGTATCTGTGAAGATGTGCGTTTTTCCCATGATGATGTACATGTGCGCGTGTCTGTGTACCTGTGAAGATGTGGATGTGCACGTATGTACTTGTGAAGATGTGTGTGTACCTGTGAAGATGTGAGCGTCGGCCTCCGTGTACTCGTGGGGGGTGAAGTCATCTGGCACGAGTGGTGGCGCTGGCGATGAGTCCGAGTCCGCGCGCTGCCTTTTCCCTCCGACCTCCGTGACCTCGGCTGCCCCCGGTGCCTCTCTACGTATGGCACCCTGCCCATGGAAAGGGGTAAGGGAGAGGCCGAACGAGACAGAATGAAGGCAACACAGTGGGACGGGGTGGGGAGCGGAGAGCGGCAGTGGGGAGGTATTCTGGTTTGTGTCGGATTTTTGTCTTTTCCCCCAATGTTATCCCCACGATGCTACCAGCATCAAGTCACGAGTCACAGGATAGGGTACCGATTCGTTAACCCTCGTCGAGTTATCACCAGCGCACCAGGGAAAGAAAAAACAGTTTATTTCATTATTATTTACTTCTTACCTTTCTTATGCGATTCCCTGTGCACTTTATTTTTCATGCGGTTGCAATTTATTTTGCTCAGTCGGTGTAAGCCACCGAGTTCGCGACGGGTTTCTATTTACATTTTTATTGCTCTATGCCCATGTACCATTCCCATTCCGCTGTGATGCGCACCGATGCCTACTTTATTGACGGCAAAAATTTGCATGCCATGACGTAATTCGCTCAAACACATGCAGAATGTTCACAAGAATAACGCATCTGAATTCGTATGCAATTTTGTAAGCAATGTCTTACCCCAACACAGGCTGGTGTTCCGATGGAATGGGAAAGGGCAGCAGTGAGTGGGGAGGGGGTGGGTGGGTGGGGACTTAAGGGCACCAGGAGGGGCTGGGTCCCACGAAGCCCAGTCACAAACGCAAGGCCCGGGGGTGCAGGTCCTGCAACAGGTTCTCAGTTCATACTCTTTGGTTCTATTCGGTAAAGTCACGTAGGTAAAAAATAAAACAAAAATCACGACGTTTCGGCCACAACACAAGCGGCCGAAACGTCGTGATTTTTGTTGTTTTATTTTTTACCTACGTGACTTTACCGAATAGAACCAAAGAGTATGGATCCTTGCAGTCACGAAAGCTTTAAATCTAGGTTCCCAGTTCCCCCATTGGCCGTGGAAACAGCGGAGCGCGAGTGAGCGGGGCGCACCTGTTTCTGCTCTCGCACAGTCGGTACGGCGACCGGCTCCTCTTGAGGGCGCTCCACCTTCATCTTCTTCTCCGCTGCAGACACGGGGATCCGTCACTCATGGCGCGTGCGTGCAGTAGTGTGCTGGTTAATGCACTGCAAACCCAGTGACCTGATTTCAATTCCCGCTTGCGATCAACAGCAATGGCAAATATTTGATCAAGTCCTGGGCCTCCCCGAGGTCGACGGAGCCTTAAATGAGTACCGGGCACGATGTGTAATCATCAGTGCTGGGGAAACAAAGGCAGCCGAGCCTGGTGTTGACTACCCACCCCTCGTGTAATCCTGGATCTTCAGAGATGCTTGCTAACAGCACTTGCCCCAAGTCTGTTAAAGGTGATACGATTTTTGTTTTTGTCGTGTGTGTGTGTGTGAGCAACGCCTCGACTTCTGTACGTGTCTGCATGTGTGTGTGTGTGCACATGCACGTGCAAGTGTTTGCGACTGCTGGATTAGTGCATGTCTCTGTGTTCATGGTGTGTGTGTGTGCCTTCACCGTGTTTGGCTTTTGCAGGCTGTGCAGAGCTCTTCTTTGGTTTCTCTGGCGCTTTCATCAGTTTCCAGCGACTACAGATCTACAGAGACGGATGAGATAGCACTCAACGGGTTCTCATCACTCACTCAGTCAACTACTTAAACACTCATTCACTTACTCAGCCACTCAGGTACTCGTTCAACGATCCAACCACTCATGCGCTCAACTACACTCTCTCACCTACCCAAGCACTCACTCAACCATTCATTCACCCACTCATCTGCTCAAACATGCACTCAAATAACCACATTAATCACCAAACCACTAAAATTCCTCACTCAGCACCCATCCGCACAAGTGGTTTGTGAAATGGAATGATGGAGATAATGATGATGATGGATGATGTGAGCAAGATGTTAGCACACAACAATCACGTGTTACCTCAAACACTTTTGAGTTAGGATCCAATTTCTTTTCTTGAAATGGCAGAGATTTCCCGTCACTGGATGGTAGATACTGCAAGCACAAGCACATGAACAGATGCACAAGCGAACTTTTTATTTTCAACCACTTCAAGTCCCCACGTCTTCATGTTTCCAGGATTTGTGCGTCAATGAAGACCGTTTTATCCAAATCCTAAGTGACCCCGTGTCACGTGTGACCCTGTGCTAATATTGTGTCTCTATGCCTCCTATCTGTCTCTCATTTACCATGCCTCCTGTGTGTTCCCCACGTCCCTAAGTCGCTTGTATCGCTGCATTGTCTTGGTGTCCTTGTAATTCCCGTGTCTCAAAGTCCATGTATCTCAATGCCACTCAACTACCCCTGTGCCTCCACATGTCCCTGTCTCCCCATGTCTCACCATGCCAAAGGGGTTGACGAACGTCTGCAGGACACGCGCTGCCTTCATCTGGGACGTGGAGCTCTGAGCAGTGCGAGCCTCGTTCTGCTGCTCTTCGCTGTCCTGCACACCACAGCAGAGCGCAGAGCGCTACAGCACATCGCAGCGCACTACAGCAACATGACAGCAATTTCAGCACAGCTCAGAATGCGACAGCACACAAGAGAACGCACAGAACGCTCCAGCACATGATGGCTAACACAGCAAACACAGCACGGTACAGAAAGCTACAGCACACGAGATCACACACACAGTGCTTTCGCCAGCGGTGTGGGAGATGAGACATGGGTTGGTTGTGGTCGTGTGAGGATGTTGGGCTCACGTCAAACAGGGTGAGGACCGGGCGCGTGGCAGGCACCGCCCTCCGTGCTCCCTCCACTGCACCACACAAAGACAAAAGTCAAAGATCCTCAATATAGCCTTGAAAAGACTTTTAGGGCAAGTGCTGTTAGCGAGCATCTACGAAGGTCAGCACAGAACACGAAGGGGATGGGAGGACCAACACTACACCCAGCCACCTTTGTCTCCCCAGTGCTGATGCTTTACACGCACTGAGTACTCATTTAAGGCTGAATTAATCTAAGGGAGCCCCAGGACCGGTTTAGATATTCGTCACCGGTGTTGGCCATAAGCAGCAATCGAACTTGGGTCGCCAGGTTAATAGTGCAGCACGCTAACCAGCTAAACTACTGCTGTTCGTCGTGACCGGGAATGGAACTTAGGCCATCAGGATCGTGCCACTACACACTACCACTGCACAACCGCTCTCTAGTGACATACAGACATACGCTAGCACAGAAGATGCACAGAGATACAGACTGAAGAATACACACGTGAACACACACACCCACACACACGCAATAATATACATGGCCACACACCTGTTGCAACCGCTGACACACAAGACATACGCATGCAGACAGGCAAATAAAGACACGTTAACAGAGACACAGGAATGAATACACACACATGTGAATGAAAATGCACGCAATTGAACACAGACACAAAGATAGCGAAAGAAATAATATGCACATACACGCAGCAGCCAAAGAAGGGTCATTGCTTAAAACATCACCTATTATGTAAGTTTTACTTTTAGGACAATGTTACTGAAAAGTATTTTGTTATTTTTGCTTGTGCCCCACTGTAAATGCAGTCAGGACATTATTTGTTATTTATTTCAATAAATTATGTTTAATTTGTACACAGAACATGGCAATTATTTGTATGATTACTACTCAAATTATGAGTGTGATATTAAAAAACAGCACAGTATTTTTTCATGTCAATAAAATGAAATCTACTCGTGACAGGCTAGGTGTACTCATCAACTGTCACGAATAAAAAAATATAATCCATATCATGAGCTTTGCCGATATAACCAGCACAACTAAGTGTGAGCTACCTTCAGTACCGTGCCTTGTGATTGGCTGCCTGTCGTCCAATGATAAGCCATCGTGAGGACAGAAGAGAGGGTTTTCCAATCGCTGTCAAAACTACAGAAGAAAATTGATTGAACAATCAGTGCCACACTAGGGTGGGCATACAAATGATACCATTAATGTCACCTTTGGGGGATTGAAACATCTAGATTGTACTGTCAGGGTCAGGCCATGAACCAACAAAATCACACAGGGGTGTCAACCTACACAACAATCGGAACATTATTCACACTCTAAGGACGGACATGAACTGAGCTCCTCATTGTCACGACGGTTTGGGGACGTGGAATTAAAAAAAGAACCACAAATGAGAGTTCTGTGCCGGATGAGAAAATGAGATGTAGAGTTGATAATCGCAAGTAAAGAGGGCATTTGTGTGATGAGTTTTGGTCTCTGGTCACCTCTGTCCGGGTGATGAATGTTCTCGATGGAGCCTTGATGGGCGTTTCGCTCTGCAGGAACAGCAGCAAAGATTATTAAACAAACGCAACCTTTACTGCAACGAGTCATTATTTTTGCAGTCACTTGTGCCTGGTTGTGACCATCAACTCGCTACATTTGTGAACGTCGTTTAACCACGGGTGGCTGAAACTCCCAAGATCCAAAACCTAGGATCTTAGCCGGGTGGTGTTGGTGGCGAAGTCCTGTAACCCAGCACTATGGAGGCAACAAGGGTGGGTGGATCACACAAATGTTGTTAAACTCCCTTCCCGTTGCTTTTCAGGTGTCATAGCATGGCCTGCCAGAAGGGGGTACAGCAAAGGTTGACTTCATCTATTCGTTCTGTATGGGATCGACTGTTGCCTCCTCGCATGCGTGGGTTTTCTCCAGGAACTCCGGTTCCCTCCCATATGTAAACACTCATTAATTGGTTGATAACACCTTCATATATAGACGACCACAAAGCTTGGGGGGAAATTTGGCACAGGCTCACCGCCTGGTAGCCTTTCCCGCTCGTCTGTGGTTCCTCCTCACGCCTCTGAGTCGTTCTCTCGCTTCGAGTGAGCGAATAATGTGCAGTGTGTCACAAGTTAAAAAATTATTATTGAAGCAGTGCCGGATCATTGTGTTTGACCCAGTATTGGCCCCAGGAGCCACCCAGTCACCACCTATATTAAATCCATACTCTTTGGTTCTTTCGGTAAAGTCAGGTAGGTAGAAAAACAATAGATCACGACGTTTCGATCGCAACACAAGCAATCGTCATCAGGTGGGACAACCACACCAACTGCTGTCTTCAGCAGTTGGTGTGGTTGTCCCACTGCTGTCTTCAGCAGTTGGTGTGGTTGTCCCACCTGATGACGATTGCTTGTGTTGCGATCGAAACGTCGTGATCTAATATTTTTCTACCTACGTGACTTTACCGAAAGAACCAAAGAGTATGGATTCCTGCAGTCACGAAAGCTTCAAATCAAGATTATATTAAATGTTTGATTATATTTATTTATGAACATTCTGCCTCTGACCACTCGCTATCCCTCTCCCCCTATGACTTTCAGTCTCTGTCTCCCACTCTCTTTTGTCTCTGTTCTCGTTCTCCGACTCTCTTGCCCTATCTATCCTTCATCCGTATCTCAACCCTGGCCGTCCATTATGAACCCCTCGCTGCTCCACCGAGCCGCCTCCGCTTCTGCGCTCACCTTGATGAGCGGGACGAGGCGTGCCTGCTTGACGAGCTGCCACAGCTCATTGGCGTTCTGCCTCACGAGGGGCGGCACCGGATTGCAGCACGCGAGCACGCCCTGCAGCTCCCTGCGTCGGCAACGACGATGTCAACATGTTAGAGCAGCGACACGCGTCACAACACAACGCCAGAGCAATGCAACATCACGGCAAAAACCACGTCACAGCAACAACACAATCTCACAGAAACAGCACAACGTTACAACAAGCCAGCACTCCCTCTCTGTCTTGCATCAAACAGCAATGGCGTGGACTAGGGTGCATATAGCCGTTGATACTGGCAAAAGCATATCCGTTCAAGATGGCGTACATATATCCTATTCATGCTGGTGTACATACGTATATTGTTCATTCTGGCGAACGTGCGTATAGGCAGCTCAGGAAAGTCTATGTATGTATAGCCTAATAAAGTATTAAAGCTTTTGTGACTGCATAAAATTACTCATTGGTTTTTTCGGTAAAGTCACGTATGTAGAAATACAATAAAATTATATTATTTATTGTATTTCTACATACGTGACTTTACCGAAAAAAACAATGAGTATGTATAGCCTGTTCATCCTGGCGTACGTATGTATATTGTGTTCAGGCTGGCATACGTACGTAAAGCCTGTCTTGTCTGGCGTACGTATATATAGCCTGGTCATTATCAGGATCATACTAACCAATGCTATTACCACAATGCAACCTTCATCATCACCATCATACTATCACCATATCCATATCATCACCAGCATCCAGATCACCATCCACATCAAAACATTATGAGTGGCACCACCATCAACACTATCACTACCACTCTCACTACTACCAGCACAATCATCAGCCACCACCACTATTACCAACAACAAGAACAGGCGCCATATGCCAATAAGTGGTGGTGACATCACCACGGCGGTTGTCCCAGGCCAGGTGCACTCCGAAGCCACGTGCAGTGTCGAAGGCTCGCTAACAGGAGCTCACGGAACAGAGCCAGGTGCCATGGGTTGACTGACTGCAATGACTGGGGCAGATGCACCAGCTGTGCACGCGACTGTGCCAACTTGCTGCATTTTAGCCGCCCGGCACTCCGCTCTTTATTGTGAGCATCGCTCCTCTGCCCTTCGTTGTTGTTGGAGGGCGAATATTACCACCACTGTCAATACCATCATGGGTATCACTCGCACCACCATCCCAACTGTCCCTGCCACCACCGGCCCCACCACCACCGTGCGCGGCTTACCGAGGCATCTCCTCTGCGATCTTCATGAGCATGTGGTTTGGGAGGACGTATCTGTGACAGTAGGAGCACAACACACACCGGTCAGGCCAGGGCACTATGCACGTCGCAGCAATAACAATAATCACACAGGCCGTACAAGCCCAACAACGCAACAGCAACAGTAATCGTACTACGCAACCATTGACCTACGGCACTGGAATGTGCAGTTTCTACAACTGGTTCAGGATCGCGATCAGGTAAATTAAAAAGTGCTGCGTCGTACACCCCAGTGTTTTACTGTGCTATATGATAAAACACCCGTGTATCGATCGATATTTCCATTTTAATGTGCAATTTTATTGGGGGACTGTGTGTTGTTTTGGTGCGGTCTTGGATCGTTTTTGTTGTTGTTTTGCTGCCTTGCCCTTGAGTGCATTGAGTGTAAAAAAATCTACAGTAATTAATGTAATTATACAATTTGTACTTATATACTTTATATTCATACATTTTTCGCTACTCTGGACATCTGTGATAAAGAGTTCATAGCTCATCGGATTCCTCCAGTCTAAATAAATATTCTGATAAATCAAGTTAAAAATTTTTAACACTGTGGTGTTGTTCTGTTTGCTGTGTTATTCTACGCCGTCGGAAAGTCTCGTGCTTTGCTGCACTATGCTATGCAGTGCAGTACACGGCTATTTCAGCGCCGCGTGTGCTCTCACCCCGTGCTCTCGTCCTCGGTGCGTGCCGTGCGGTGGCCCCAGGCGTACAGGAGCCGGGCGGCGCTGCTCTGCTGCACATCCAGTGGCTGCTTGTGCTTGTGCAGCAGCTCCAGGTAGGAGTCCTCGGTGAACACCGGCTTGTGGTAGCGCTGAGACACACACACACGCACACAGGGAGAGAGAGGTAGATGGAACAACGCAAGTAGTGACAGCAGCAATAATTACCAGGGTTCAGACTTGTTTGGTATGCTTCTCTCTCTGTGTCCCATGTTGTATCTGTGTTAGTTCCACCCTACTTGGGTGTCTGTATATACATCTGGGGTTATGTGTTTCCTCTATCTCGTAAATTTAGCTCCTCTGTACCTGATGATGGCTGCTTGTGTTGCAACCAAAACGTCGTACGCTATTATGTAATTTAATTATTTCTCATTTATACGTGACTTTACCGAAAAAACCAAAGAGTAATTACCAGGGTTGTTAAAACGATCATCGGTTAACTGGTAATTGTTTTCAGCATCAATTACCAGTTCTGAAAGTCGGTAACCAATGTTTCCAGTGGGAATTTTCATCGTGAATGCACTAATTAGGATGCATGAACATTAAAACGGTACGGCGGGCCCGAGTCACCACATTGAACATAAATCGGCATTTTGCGACCCCCTCCACTGCCACTGTGTAGCATATTATTACGTTCCAGGGACTCTATGAGATGATAGGACAATAGTCTACACATTACACCATGAACTATATCACTTCGTTGATCTAGTTAAAAAGATAAATATATTCTTTGTTTATTGCTCGAGGCCTTGTAACGGAATAAACAATATTTTTGGAGGGGTGGGAAAACTTTCCCGATCGAGAGTGAGAGTGGTGGATTTGCTTACAAAGATAGGCTTGCTAACTTGCTCACTGGTGGAGCCAGTGGGGAGTGGGGTGGCACGTGCCCCCCCAATGATCCGATCGAAATCCCTAATTTAGATCAGATCATTGGGGTTTATTGGTAATAAATCAGGCATTTTGCGACCCCCACTGCCACTGTGTAGCATATTATTACGTGTCAGGGACTCGATGAGATGATAGGACAATAGTCCGAGTCCATAATTGGCAATAAGTAACGGCAAAGCAGTTCTAAGTGACTCACAGAATTGTGCGCAGTTGCGTATACAGGACACGACTTCCCTGAAGGCATCAACACCTTCAGCGAGTGCGATGCCGATCACACAACGCGGTTCGAATTCGACCCTCGATCGATGGCTGCGCCATCGCCGCACTACGCGTCAAATAAAAACCAAGGGACAAGTCCTTACTTACTAACACTACCTTTTTTCATTGCTGGAGGGGTTGCCCCCCCCCCCCCACCTGAAAATCCTGGCTCAGCCATTGCCCACGCGCCACTCACCTTGAGTGCCACAGTTCGGCTCTGGTCCCACACAAGCTGCAGGAGGTTGGGTCGGCCCAGCGCCTTGGTGAGCAGGTCGGCGCGGACGCGGTCGTACACGTACAGCAGGTAGTGCGTGTCGGCACGCGCATAGTGCAGCATGTCTGGCAGGAGAGGCCTGTGTGTGTGTGCGTGCATACGTGGATGTGTGCAAGTGTTGGTGTGCGTGTGTATGCAATTGTGAGTGTGTATGTGTTTGTGTGTGAGTGTGTGCATGCGAGTGTGTATGAGACGCAGATGTTAATGTACCGCAACATTTATCTGTTGACCCATGTTTCATTTCCGGTGAAGGCTAACATCATTTGGGAGTGATATAAAAACCAGTATTGGACCTCCCCCAAGACTGACTGGGCCTTAAATGAGTACCTAGTATAAGATATGAACATCAGCACTGGGGAAACAAAGGAGGTCAGGCATGATGCTAACCACATTACCCTCTCAAACATTGTGCCAGCCTTAATAGGGGCTCGCTAAGATAACTTGAGTGAGGAGGGGGGGGTGAAAGTGCTTCATATGTACTGTTCTATGAACCCAGTGATGGGACTTCAATTCCTCACCCTGGCCAACTAGATTCAGCAGTCTATTCAGGCGACACGGGGGATCTTTGTCCTTGTGTGTGAATGTGTAAGCAGTAGAGTAGCGGCTAGCACCCTGTGCTATGAACCTGGTGAAACGAGTTCGATTTCTACTCACGGCCAACACCTGTGACAATTATCTGAACCGGTCCCGGCCCTCCACTAGCTCGACTCAGCCTCAAATGAGTACCTGGTGTAGCGGTGTGTAAACATCACCACTGGGGAGACAAAGGCGGCCGTGCATGGTACTGGCCACCCACCCCCTCCTTCACAGCACTTTCCCCAACAATTAGTTGAGGCTATACAGGGGATCTTTGCCTTTGTTTTTGTACGTGTGTACAAGTTAGCCCGTGCATGCGCGTGCGTATGCAGAGGTTCGAGCAAGTGCGGCGTGCGTACCGGATGCGCCAGTCAGCCAGCTGGTACTGCTTGTCGGTAGACAGGCTGCAGTAGTGCATGAGGAGGTGGGCGAGCGAGTTTCTGGCGAGGCCGAGGGAGCGCGCCGCTGGGTGCGTGTCGAACAGGCCCACCACGTACAGGCCCAGGTCACGTTGCAGCCACTCAATGTCCGAGTCCGCTCCGTGGAAAACCTGCGCCCCCGCCACACCGCAGCGTCAATCACCACGTCACCGTGGCAATCACTGCGCCACTGCGTCGCCGCGTCAAGCACCACGCCTCTCACGTGGCCGGTGCTCAAGATATGGTTACAACGTCCCTAGTAACCATCGTCGCCGCCGCCGCTGTCAACAAGGCATGGCTGCAGCCAGCCCCCCTTAATTGCTTCCTTTCTCTATTTCCCTTGCTCGGTCCGACCTGCTCCCTCCTATTCTTTGGTCCTTTCGGTAAAGTCACCACCACGTAGAAGGGAAGCAATAAAATAATACAAATATATAAAACAATAAAATTCTCACGACGTTTCGACTGCAACACAAGCAATCAGTCATCAGGTGTGAAAACCACAGCAAGAATTTTATTGTTTTATATTTTTATTATTTTATTGTTGCCCTTCTACGTGGTGACTTTACCGAAAGAACCAAGAATATGAATCCCTGCAGTCACGAAAGCTTTAAATAAAATAAAAAATTCTGCTCCCTCCTGTTCTCCCCGTGTAATTCTGCGCCCCGAGATGTTTGTTACGCTTTAGGTGCAATACAAGTGCAATGTATTGTTGCAAACATTCACCCAATGGCATTCATATCGAGTGTGCAGGCAGTGCAATGATACATTGGCAGCAAGCTGGAGGGACCCAGGCGTCGTGCTACAAAGTCGGCGAGGGAGAGGGATGTCTCTCTCCTTGTTTTGCTGTCTCACTCGATTATTTTGTTTATGCATGTCTACGTGCACGCGTGCCTCTCACCTTGACAATTTTGGGGTTGGTGAAGGCCTCGTTGAGGATGTGCAGGTCGTCGCGCAGCATCAGTGTGTCGATAATGAAGTCCTCTTCGCGCGTCGAGATTTGCATGAGGCAGGTGATGCCCAGGAAGGAACGGTATGAGTGATGCTACGGGGCCACGCACAGGAATAGCCGCTCAACGGTCGGCGGACAAACAACAGTAGAAGAGGCAGATAGGCGGTCGAGCGGGACGAAAGCACACAGACGGCACAATCCAACAAACCAACCGCACATCACAACTCGATATTATACGACCACACACGTCACACACACATGCTGGCACTCACCCAGACAACAAACACAGATCCCCCGTAGAGCTTTAACAGACTGTTGGGACAAGTGCTGTTAGAGAGCACCTATGAAGGCCGAAACGGCACACGAGGGGTTGGGTGGCCAGCATCCATGCCCGGCCGCCTTTGTCTCCCAAGCGGCAATGTTTTTAAACATCGCACCAGGTACTCAATTGAGGCCGAGTCAAACTAGGGGAGGCCCAGGACCGGTTCAGATAATTGTCACGGGTGTTGCCCATGAGTGGGAATCGAACTCGGGTGGCTGGGTTCATAGTGTAGAATGCTAACCACTACACTACAGCTTCCCACAAACTGACACTCACGCCGACACACACACACACTCACACCGCCCTTACCTCAAGGTCCACAGCGAACTCCTTGCACTGGAGCAGCTTTTCGTTGACCTGCGCTAGTTCTTCCAAGGAGGTCACTAAGGTCAGTGGCGTCTCCTCCAGAGGCCGGAACTTCTGCTCAACGGCACCATCAAGACCATCAACATCACAAGCAGAACCAACAACATCAGCACCATCAACAATAACACCAACAACCACTACCAGCTCCATGTTCATCATCTCCATCAACACTGTTAAAAGTAACATCACCAGCAGTAGCACCAGCACTTTGTTGTGTGTATACGTGTATGTGAGGAGCGGTAGCGCACTACGCTATGAACCCAGCGACCCAAGTTCGATTCCTGCTCAAAGCCAACACCAGTGACGATCACTTGAACCGGTTCTGGGCATCCCCTTGGTCGACTCAGCCTCAACTGAGTAAATGGTGCAGTGCGTAAACATTAGTACTGAAGAGATAAAGGTGGCCGGGTGTGGTATCGACCACCCAGCCCCTCGTTTGCCATGCCGGCCTTCGGAGGTGCTCGCTAACAGCACTTGCCGCAAAAGTATGTTCAGGTTATATGGGGGATCTTTGTCTTTGTATGTATATATACATTCGTGTGTGTACTTGTGTGTACGTGTGTGTTCACCTGTGGTTCTGGCTCTTGAAGGAGCTCCTCACTGGGAGTGAAACTCTCCAGCTCAAACTGGTATGGTGGGCAAAGCTGCACGCACACATGGGCACACAACAGCAGCAACAATTCAGCACTGGCTGGTACCATCAGCACACCATCAGCACCAGGCAAGGTGCATTCCAAAGCCATGACGAGCAGTGAATACTCACTGATGGGAAGTCACAGGACAGAAGCACACTTGTATGAAACACAAATACACACTGGTGTGTACCAATGTCTATTTGTTTGTGTATCTAATTTGCATTTGTGTGTCTGCATGTAACCGTACACATATTCTTTGGGTCTTTCGTTGAAGCCACATAGATAGATCAAATAATAAAAAATAATAAAGATAAAAAATAACAATATCACGACGTTTTGATCACAACACAAGCTATTGTCATCAGGTGAGAAATATCGCAGGAGAGCTGCTGAGAATATATGGTGGGAGCGCTGCTAAGGAGTTATAAAGGTTTGGGATGGGTGTAGCGGAAGGGTCAGTGGGCGGGCTAGAGATTAAATTTGTATGTAAATGTAAGATCGGGTAAATCTTGACAAACGAAGCTGTGGGGGTGGCCATTGTATTTTGAGAGATTAGCATGTCAATGTAAGAGATTAGCATGTCAATGTAAGAGATTTGCTTGTCAATGTAAGACATTTGCTTGTCATTGTAAGAGATTAGCATGTCAATGTAAGACATTTGCTTGTCAATGTAAGCTCGGAGAGAGCTCGGCAAGAACATTGCCACATGGAGGTGGAAAAGGATGGCAAGCCGCCATTTACTAACACCTCTAAAAGTGGTTGTGTTAGTGAATGTAACGCAGAGAGTTGAAATGTAACTGCTCACATAGGTAAGTAGAGAGGGAACATCACAGCCAGTTATGACCTAAACTGGTTAATAACGTCCTTCCAATGATTGCTCGGTTGGTTTGTACCCATCTTCTCGGTTGAAATCGTGTCTGTGTAATAAGATCAGGTAAATCTTGACAAATGAAGCTGTGGGGGTGGCCATTACATTGTGAGAGATTAGCATGTCAATTTAAGGAATTTGCTTGTAAGCAATCGTCACCATATGACGATTGCTTGTGTTGCGATCGAAACGTCGTGATATTGTTATTATTTTTATTATTTCTATCTTTATTATTTTTTATTATTTGATCTATCTACGTGGCTTTACCAAAATACCCAAATAATATGAATTCCTGCAGTCACGAAAGCTTTAAGTCAAGATTTAAGTGTACACATCTTTGCGCAACTGTTTACATCAGTGTATGAGTCGATATATTTGCGCCTCATATTACAATTGGAGAATTTCTGAACTGGTCTTGAGCCTTTGCTAGGTGAACTCCGCCTTGAATGAGTACCTGGTGCAGTGTATATACTGTACATCCGTAATGGGGAGATAACCAGCACCTCGGCATGGTGTTTCCCACACTACCCCCTTGTGTGCTGTGCCAATCTTCATAAGTGCTCACAAACAGCACAACAATCTATATTATCTCCTGCCAGTGAGCCTTCAACACTTCACGTGGCCTCAGAGTGTACCTAGCCTAGCACTAGTGGTAAATTGTGCTTGTTGTTGTTTTATGTGCCTGCATTAGTACGTATATACATTCATCTTATTGTGTTGATGCATGCATGAGTACATATCTTTGTGCCTCCGATGGTATTGGTGTGTGCATCTGTGCGTGTGTCTGTATGTTAGTGTGTGTGTGTGTGTACGTACACGTCTTCCTGTGTATGCGTACGCTGCTGGTGCAGGAGGTCAGCGAGGGCGGGAGGTACGTCCAGGTCATCCGGGCGCACGTCCCGGCGTAAACGCAGTGCTGCAATCACACAAACACACATTCACACCAACCTCATTAGCCGTCGTTTATCACTGCTGGGTAAAGGCCTCCCCATACTTCACTGTCGAGTGATTCAACAAATCATATCACGTCTGTGCATGAGCAAATCTCATCACCCATTCACCACAGGTGGTCATATTAAAAGATTCACTCCTTTGGCTGTTATTTAATTACCATTCTTGTCCATCCCTTTGAGTAAAGCTACCTGCCAAAGGCAACTTGATTCCCCAAAACAATCAATATTTTATTTCCATTTGTTTTCCAGTTTGTATTCGTCTTCTTCTTGTCAGTAATTCCCAGCATGCACCTCGATGTAATTATTTGCATACTATACAGCTTTTATGCAATATTCTAGATTTGAAGTTTTCGTGACTGCAATGATCCATACTCTTTGGTTCTTTAGGTAAAGTGATCCATGTCACAGCATGAGAAGATTTGAGATGCATTAGTCATTTATTACATATTAACATATGTGCTTATTTGTACGAGTGTGATGAATATTCAGCGAGAGATGAATATTCTTTGAGTGCCATTTCAAAATGCTCGGCCTCATGTGGTTACGGGATATATAAAGTGCAGTCGCACCTCTGATTAGCACAGGTTGGCTACGTAAGACGGTGCGAAAACATTTCAACACACATCAAAGTCATGGGTTGTATGAAATGTGGTTGCATGCCATCTGGCCCGATGGGCCGTATGTACCCCTGATGTGTTTCCGTACCTGCTGGCAGCGGCTTGAGGGCATTGGGCTTCACACGCAGCTTGGGCAGGAAAGGCACGTTTGAGTTGTCCACTCTCTGCGTGAAGCTGAGCTGTGGCCGTGCGATGTTCTTGGCCTGCAGCGCGTGGAATGTGCGGCCTCGCGCCGAGGCAGACTCCTGGTTCTGCGTGAGAGCTGAGATGCTGACTCAGCAGAGTACTGAAACGTTGAGTCAGCGGATCACTGTCGATGACAACTAGGCATGCAACGATACAGATTCATTAAAATTGATTTGTACGTTTAAGACACACGCTTTGAATTGAGCGTGTCACGTTTTATATTAATTATAGTCATACAGCAGTGAACTGACAGAAGGTTGAAACGTGTTTTCAATCTTCTGGTGACTAGATGGAGACCATCTCAATACACCTGAGATTTTGGTGGCTGAAACCCAGATTAAAACCCAGGATCACAGTGGTACCAGCTCAAGTATCTCTGATCCAGTATTAATCGTAAGCCACCCAACCACTTCATACATGTCTTGTGTATGTGGGGGTCCCAAATGCCTTTGTTGTGTGTATGTCAAAGTTGGTGCATCTGCCAATCATCTAAGACCGTCTCCTGTGATCTTCAGACAGCGAGGATCCAACACTTCACGTATAAGGCGTGTGAATTTAGTGCATACTCGTCGTGTGTTGCGTCGTGAATGTCGTGTATTTGTGTACCCGACGATTCCACGAGGACACGATGGTCTTGGGGGGCAGGGTTCCCTGGGGGAGCACGGGGGCCTTATTTTTGTTCACCCCTGATACCTCGTCCAACAACGTGCCCTGCACCACACAGGGAAAAATTATTACACAACCACATGCACAACAGACGACAATCACTACACGAAGCAAAACAATGACACAACCACATACACAACACAACTATGTAACTACACACAGCGACATAATTACACAATTGTATACACAAGGCATAAAAGCCACGTAAAAATTATACAATCACATACAACACTCAACAATCACATGACATCAAATGACACCTACTACTCATGTCGCAACAACCATACACCCTATTTACAACTCCATTTACAACTTACTCAATCAGCACTTCATCGATGAGGGCCTCCCCCATGCAATTTGGGTTGAGGGGGTTAATTGACCATACTTCACATTTGTTCAGTGTGGGTTAGTGTGTTGGTGGGGAGCATCAATGTGGGAACGTAGAGAATGAAATGAATTTTGTATGTTGAACTTATTTCACACCATATGTAGCCAACCATGCTAATCGGAGGTGCAGGGAACATATAATAACGATTAGGAATTGTGATCATTCATGCAAGCAATATCCATGCACAATCCTGCTAATCATTGGAGATCTAGGGTGGTTTGGTCAATACATGCATTTCCACACATCCGATGACTAATGCAACCATACATCCTACATATTACACATTAACACAACATGTAAACACAACCAGTAACATAGAAATATACACCATCACATATTACCACACACATCGCCATACTCCCAACCAGACATGTACTTGAGCGTCAATACAAAGTGCAATAAGCAAGCACAGTCACACGTACAAACTACACACGTGTAAAATACACAACCACATCAGCATAAGTAGTCTTCAATCCAAACGCCTTGCATTTCAGACTTCAGTGTCTCTGCTTAGCAACAGTAAGACCATACGGGCAGACGAGGGTTGCTGGGAACCAAGAGCTGGTCAATAAGAGGGGAGCGTGGCAATCACGGTGGAAAAACACTACAGTTCATGGAAATACAGATCAGCCCAGCACTAGCCCAGCTGCACTCGTACTAAAGTAAGATTCACTCACCACACGCTCCAGGATGGTGTCGGTGGCATCCACCAGCCCTTCGAATCGCTCCTCGGGGTCCATCGAGTCCGTCACGTGACCACGGCAGCCATAATAACGCGACAGATTGGAGATGCTGCACGGTATTTTGGGTAATGCAGAATCGCATGCAATCAACTGTTAACAATGGCTATTGTATGGAGAGGCTGCAAGAGGGTTTTGGGGCTGCCCATTACTAATTTTAGCAGTGAAACACGGACTGAAAAGCCAATAGGCCAATGTGCTAAATAATACTTTTGTTTATACATAGAGACAGAGCAGAGTTCTGATATATTTCCTTTGGGCATGCCATTTTAGGTTTTAGAATGGTGTGCTGTTCAGCGCAAAACGAGAGCAACGTGACGTGCGGTGATGCAGTTTGGAGAAGTATAATTACTGGTGTTGTAGTGGCGTGTTCTTTAATGGTGTGATGTCTAGGAGTGCATTCAGGGCTATGTCGACAGTGTTAAAACATATACCCATTGAGCAGTCTTTGCGCTGAATTCTCGTAGACGTTCCGCACTGCCGGGAAAGTCTGGTAAAAATCCAGCTCCTCCCCGGGGCTCGGCATCCCCATAGATGCCCGTGTCGCCTTCACCACACTTCCCAGCACGTGCTGTACATGCAGAGACAAGAGATTAATTCCGCTTTAGACTTAGGGCCATCCATTTAGTACGTACGCATATAGGGGGGAGAGGGGGTTAACCCAAATGCGTACGCTTGCGTATGGGGTCATTCTATAGGATTCGGGGGGGGGGGGGTGGTGGTGCGTCAAGCGTACGTACGTAGGTGAGGGGGTGGGGTGTGTTCAAAGTACGCGTGCGTACATGGAGGGGGGGGTCAAGTTTTCACAGATTTTTGCGAACGTACTAAATGGATGGCGCCCTTACCAAATGTGGGACCCAGTGCGGTTAATTGATGCCTATGAATCCCCGTAGAATACAAACGGGGCGTGCTATGGCCAACACTGCGCCCAGTCGCCTTTATCTCCCCAGTGCTGATATTGATCACGAACACACTTCACCGGGTACTCATCATTTCAGACCCGAGACGATCTCGGGGAGGGCTCCGGACAAGTTTAGACAATATCACAAATCATGGAAATGTGAACCACACATTGATGATGAATGCCTCCCTACACTGTCAGTAATTGGGGTTATTTGACCATACTACACCACATTGGTCAGTGCGGGCTGGTGAAGAGGAGGACCTTGAACCGATTCAGATAGCACCTGACGCTGATGTTAGCCGTGGCAGGAATTCGAACGCATTCCGCGCGGTTCATATCTCAGCGAGCAAACTAATGCGCCACCGCTCCATCCAGTCACATAACTACCTACGGTAGTCCCTTAACACGGACTAAATACACAAACGATACCTGTACATTACACACACAGATGCACGTGTATCTGTTAGAGAGCACTTCTTAAGGATGGCCACAGGACAAGGGGTGAGCTGTTGCAAACTACCGTAGTTGTGGCTCAGTGGACAGAGAAGACCATATGCAGGTTTGTTTGTTGCGGTTGCACCCGATTCAAGAGCCGAATGGCTCACAGGGCTATACCAAATAAATGAACTATGAGGTGCACATACCCAAATGGCCTTCGTTGAGAATTCCCGCAAACCTCAACGTCCCTTTCAGACGCCGGCAGTGTAACTCACACATACTTTTACAGGCTCGAGACACGACACAATCGAATTGCCAACATTCACTTGTCTTGTTCTACGCGTTCAAACGATTACAAATGCAGAGCCGAACAACTTTTATTTTTATTTTTAAAAAAATCTACATCAACACGTGGAATTGAGGCCCGGCACGCCCCCGTGAAGCCTACGGCTTTTCCTAGTACCCCTCCCCCGCGTCTCTGGCTTCGTTCGCCCGCCGCAGAGGAAGGCGAGGAAAGGGGGGTCGCGACCTTAACACGCCTCCGCGTGAAATCCCTTTCGGAGGAACGCAGCCACGTTTTCATTTGCGCGTGGAGCGAGACGGGGATCGTCGGTTCGTTACCTGCACGTAGGCGTCAACATCGGCAAAGCCCGGGATGGGCTCCCGGCCGAGCGGGTCTGGGTCCGGGCCTCCGACACCCCCATTGCTCACGGCGTCGGCCATGGTTGTTGTAAATGGGAATCCTTCCGGAAGCGGAAGATGCCGGAGCGAACGAACGGGCGGTGGAGTTATTCCGGAAGATTGCTTTGCGGTAACTCCGAAAATCCGCGGAACACCGCGACGACGACAACAACAACAGAAAATATACAGCGGAAATGGAATTAATTTATTGAGTTTTTTTTTAAACCACAGAACAATCCTCGAAACTGTATTTCACGTTGTTTTTTTTGTAGTCTTGTTTTAGTGCCCTGATGTGAAGCCACTGAGGTGAGGTTGCAGGGTTGTTACAAAAGGTTCTTTATTCAGTTTAACACGTAGGCTTTAGAAAACCACTCGCAGACCAAGTTACTCGCAATCCAAGGTTTTACTATATAAATGTGTCGTTAAACCCGCCGCCACCCGACACAGCCAATTAGTAAGGTTTGTCACGTAAAGAGAACATGCCAATTCGTTACCAGTACAGCACACCGGTGTGTTGGAGAGCAAATCCACAACATTTACAATCTGAGTACGACGTTTCACCAGTAGTTACAACCAGCATCATCAGGCGACATCCAGATTATGTAGTCATGCACAGCACTTTCTGCAGAAAGGAATCATAAAACCCCGAAGAAAATGGTGCCTAGTTATACTACCTTACAAAATCCCATACCTACTGCCTAAGTCTCGTTCACCCACTCTTGTTCACTCAATTCCAGCGTACATGAGCTCAAAAGCGTTTATCCCCTTATCATACAACTGACTGTCTTTAATCTTTATTTAGGCCGCAGCCCACCATCTCTCTTCAGCTCCCCCGTCCAGACTCGGCGATAGTCTCTCTTGCCCTTGTACTGGTAGGAACCTCCTGGTTACACCAGCCCACCGGGGATTATTGTGTCCGTCCGTCCGTCGTGCATCCAAAAATGGGCGGGGTGGGGCTGGGTGGAGAGGGGCTGGGTGGGGAGGGGCTGGGTGGGGAGGGGCTGGGTGGGGAGGGTGGGGAGGGTGGGGCTGGGTAGGGGGTGGGAGGGGTGGGGCTGGGTAGGGAGGGACTGGTCACCCCGTGGTGCCCTTATAAAACTCAACGTTTCACCTACTCATGCCGGCTTGTGCCCGCCCTTACAGTCGGGCATATTTGCGGAATACACCACGAGGTGGTGCCGTTGACCCTGGCCATTGACCGAGCAACCCAACATTCCTACCAGCTCCCTCCGCACGAATGTGTTTATCCTAGCTCTCTAGCTGTCTGTGTTCCACCCTCGGGCTGTAAAGCTGGCTTTACTATTACTGTGCTGTACTTATGTGTTACCGCGGCTACTTCAGCGGCCCACCCAACAGGCGCGGTTCGTCACCTTGCACCCAAATCAAGAGCCGAATGGCTCACAGGGTAAATCCTAATAACACATTCCTGCGGAGGGAGCTTGTAGGAACAATGCGTTGCTCGTCAATGGCCAGGGTCAACGGCGGAGATAGGTGAGCCACTGCTTAACCAATATATACTTCACTTGGAATGGAACTTTCTACAAACAGAGGGCACCCCAGTGGGCTCCCCCCTATCTCCGGTTGTAGCCAACATTTTCATGGAGAAATTTGAGACTGACGCCATCCAGACTGCCACTCTGCGCCCAACCTTATGTACGTGGATGACACTTTTGTCATCTGGCCACATGGCCGGCCTGCTCTAGACCAATTCTTCGACCACATCAATTTCATACACCCAGCCATCAGATTTACCATGGAAGTCGAAAAAGATGGCAAGCTACCTTTTTTGGATGTCCTAATAAAAAAGAGACCCAATGGTTCAATGAGCCACTCTGTCTACAGGAAAGCTACCCATACGGATGCTTACCTGAAACCGGATTCCCACCACCATCCATCCCAGAAGAATTCCCTCATCTAGACTCTGCACCAAAGAGCCCAATGCATATCCGACCAGGAACACATAGCCAGTGAACTCAAGCACGTACACCAAGCTCTTAAGGCTAATGGTTATTCCGACTACACAATCCGCAAAGCTATCACTCCAACCATGAAGAAGGACCCTCTTGAGGAGCCTTTCAAAACCATCACTTTACCCTACATTGCGGGGATCACAAAAAAGATCTCCAAAATCTTGAATAAACACAAGATCCAGGTCCGATTCAACACATTACATAAAATCCGTGATCTAGTTCCGTCTGTAATAGATGTGATTCCGGACATACAGTACCCTGGCGTCTACAAACTAAGTTGCCTCTGTGGTAGTAGTTACATTGGAGAAACCAAACGACATGTCTCGGACCACATTCGTGAACACAAAGCAGACCTGAAACACGGTAGGACCAACACCTCGGCCGTGGCAGATCACTGTTATAATTCAGTAGGCTCACATGACATTGACTTCTTTGCAAGCCATCTGGCTACCATGAGAGATTCGTTCATGAGGATATCCACATATACAAAAACAGAGACAATTTCAACCGAGAAGATGGATTATGGCTTAGCAATCATTGGAAGGATTTTATAAACCATTTCGGGTCTTAATTGATTGATCACGCTTAAGGTGACTTTCAGACAGCTTCCATTATTTTCATCTCCCCCCTCCTCTTTTCCGAACATAGATGGACTCGTCCATCTGAACAAACTGTCAAATCGCTCTCCGTGGTGCTAACGTTAAAATAAAACCCGCCACTTTTTTCAAATTTTCTTGCTGTGGTTTTCACACCTGATGATGATTGCTTGTGTTGCAGTCGAAACGTCGTGAGAATTTTATTGTTTTATATCTGTATTATTTTATTGCTTCCCTTCTACGTGAATTTACCGAAAGAACCAATGGGGTCGATATCTTCCGGCAGACGCAGACATCTTCCGGCAGACGGAGACATCTTCCGGAAGATGGAGAGGGACTTCCGGTCCCGTTGCACGATCGCCATCTTCACACGACGGGTCGGGAGCGTGCGGACGAATCGAGACCTGCGGCTCGCGTTCAGGATAAAGTAGAGACCATCTGACCCCCGGTAACGCAACACTCGCCTGCGAACCCGTTGTTAACTCGGCGTCTCCGCTACGCCTGCAGTGCAGCCACCGCCGCACGCGATTTCAGTTTAGATCGGAATCGCGCGCGCATGCTCCACGTGGGTGCACTGTACGCACTGTACAGCCACGTGTATCGTGCGGGCCGCATAATCGGGCTCGTCTATCGTAATTGTTTGACGATTGAGTGACCCCGTTGCTGGCTGATTGGCCTCCTGACGCCGTGTCGGTCACGGGGATTGGTTTGACCATACTTCACCGCGCTGGTCATTGCGTGTTGGTTGAGAAGGCCTGAGAGCGTTGTAATTTTGTGTTATAATTGTGTGTTGCCTGTTGTCAAGCTTGAGAGTACCTGTGCATTTGTTAACGATGTTTTGTCTCAAGTAACTTACAGTACAACGTCGCACTGTCCCTTTAGTTATCGGAGTCTATAAAGTACCACAGTACTAGTAGAGCGGTGGCGCAGTGGTTAGCGCAAAGCGGCGTGGAACCAGGCGATCTGAGTTGGAATATCGGCCGCGACTAACATCGGTGGCGAGTTATATTTGAACCAGTCCCTGAGCCTCCTTAAAACATTTCCATTGGTTCGATTTTGCGTTCGTAAGGGAGACGTGGATGCGGGGCGGATCGTGCCGATCCACTGCTGGATGCACCAGCGTGGTGCGGTATGGTCACACAACCCTAATGGCAAGCAACTGCGTGGGAAAGACTTCATCCAACGGTGGAATGACAGCGGGTTGTTAATTATTTCTGTAATCGCATATCAACAGCTGCGGAACGTGTGACATTTCCACCACTGGTTCAGGGCGGACAACGGAGAAGGAAGAACCAGAGTGGTGTTTTTGGATTGGATCGCGTGAATATCAATGTCGTTAAACCCGCCACCACCACGCCAATTTAGTTACTAGCTTAGCACACCCGCTGTGTTGGGAGAGTAAACCCTCGACATTTACAATTCGAGTACGACGTTTCGTCGGTAATTACAACTAGCATCATCAGGCGACAACCAGCATTTTTTGGTGGCGGGTTGAACAACACATTTATATTTACGCGATCGAGCCAAAAAGAAAACCTCTTTGTGGATAGAATTGGTCGCGAAAGCCTGCGCGTTAAACGGAGATGCAAGATCTCGTGCACGCTCGCTTCTCCGGATATTACTTGGCGAGGCGCGTCTCGGATTTGTGTTCATAAGGGAGGCGTAACGCAGAAGCGAATCGTGTCATTCCACGGCTGGATGAGGTTCCTCTGAACGCCGTGGCACTGCGAATGCGGTTTGAAGGTGGGGAGCATCGATGTGGGTGGGAGCATGTACAAGTACGTTACGATAGATTTCATTACACTGCCCTCTGCTGCCCATAACGTGGCAACGCAGCGGCTTATAGCGCCTGGTGATTGCATAGTAGTCGCCCATTAAGTAAGGCACTGACCAGGTTCTAACCTGCCGAGCCATTGAGGTCTGTCGAAATTGAATACCGCACATTCTTGGTGATTTAGTGTAAATGTAACGCTAAAAAAATCAAATTGGCAGTGGCCCTGCAAAGAGCGGCCATAGCTCCAAACGCCCCCGCAAGAGTCTGAAGCCACCTTTGCAATTAAAGGATTTGTTATGAATACGTCACCTTTGACCTCTCACCTGCTTACCTCTTTCACTCTGCCCCCATTCCCCCCCCCCAGCTCTTCGCCCCCCATGGCTCCCAAGAGCGGCCGGCGCAAGAGCCGCGCAAAGCCCAACTTGGCCACCCTGAGCGTCGACGAGTTCTTTGCATCAGCAGCTGTTGATGACGATGGCGACGACGATGGAGCCGCCATCGACGAGAAGGAGGCGATCCAGGATGAGCGGGTGGAGCCGGCGGTTCTCCGTGACGACGGTGGCGGTGCTGGCAGGCATGCTAGCCAGCACAAGCAGGACCTAGTGAAGCTGCGCCACAAAGATCCTGAGTTCTACAAGTTCCTCGAGGAGAACGACCGCTCGCTGCTCAACTTCAACGACTCGGACACGGAGTCCGACTCGGATGGCGATCCTCGCGTGCACCGCCCGCCCAAGCGCCTCAAGGAAGCGCCCAGCGGAAGCGACGACGATAGCGATTTGGACGACGACGACGAAGAGGAAGAGCGATCTAAACGCAAGCCTGGTCGCTCGACTTCATCAGCCGTGAAGGTGACAGCCGACATGGTGTCGCAGTGGCGCGAGGCGGTGCGCGGCGGAAACCTCTCCCCGGGGCTGCTGCGCGACGTCACGCTCGCCTTCAGCGCCGCCGTGGCGGCCACGCGGGGCGGCGCCGGCGGCCCCGACTCGGCCACGCCTGCTGCCGCGGCCGCGCGGTTCAAGGTGGAGGGTGGCACCGTGTTCAACGCGCTGGTGAGCTGCGCAGTGCGCGACCTCGCGCCCGCCCTCGACCGCCTGCTCCAACTCCGGCCCTCCGACGACGCCGGCAAGGTCGCGCTGCCGAACACGAGCCGCCTGTGGCGGCGCGTGCGGCGTGACGTGCGCACGTACCTGTGCGACGTGCTGCAGCTGGCGGCCGTGCTGGCGGAGCCCTCGGTGCTGCGCGCCACGCTGCGCCACGCCCACGCGCTCGTGCCGTACTACCTGAGCTTCCCCAAGCTGGCACGTCGCCTGCTGCGCTCCATGGTGCGGCAGTGGAGCGCTGGCAGCGACGACTCGTGCCGCGTGCTCGCCTTCCTGGCGCTGGCGCGCGTGACGCGCCACAACCTGTCGGCATACCATGGCACGGTGGTGCGCGCCATGTACCTGGCGTATGTGCGCAACGCGCGCTTCTCCTCGCCCGACTCCTTGCCCCTCGTCGGCTTCATGCAGCGCTGCCTGTGCGAGGTGCTCGCCATGGACCCCGCCGGCGCGCATGCCCACGCCTTCGCCTACGTGCGCCAGCTCGCTGTGCACCTGCGCGGGGCGCTGGCGACGCGCCGTCGCGACAGCTTCCGCACCGTTTACAACTGGCAGTTTGTGCGTTGCGTGGAGCTGTGGTGCCGCGCGCTGCCCGCTCTCAACGCCGCTGCGCCTGGCTCGGCCGCATCGCTTGTGTACCCCCTGGCACAGGTGGCGTGGGGCTGCGCACGTCTCGTGCCCTCGGAGCGCTTCTACCCGCTGCGCCTGCACGTGGCGCGTGCCCTCACGGAGCTGTCGGCCGGCACGGGCGCCTTCGTGCCGGTGCTGCCGCTGCTGGGCGAGGTGCTGGAGCGCACCGACTTCAACCGGCGGCCAGGCCGCTTGAGCACACGCCCCATCAACTTCGCGACGACGCTGCGGCTGAGCCGCGCCGAGCTCCAGGAGAAGTCGTTCTGCGACGGCCTCGTCGAGCAGCTCTGCGACGCGACACTGGAGCACCTGCGCACGCATGCGCACCGCGTCGCCTTTCCCGAGCTGGTACTGCCCTTCTCTCTGCAGCTGCGCGCCTTCCTCAAGCGCTGCAAAGTGGCCAATTACTGCCGGCAGGCACGCCAGCTGCTGGACAAGCTGACGGAGAACTCGACGTTCGTGTCGGGGCGACGCGGAGTGGCGGGGGCGCCGGCCGTGACTGACGTGGCGGCCGTGGAGGCGTGGGAGGAGCGGCTGCTCGCCGAGGGCACGCCGCTGAGCCGCTACTACGACGCGTGGAAGCGCCTGCGTGAGCACGAGCTGCGACTGGAAGTGAGCGGCAAGGAGAGGATGGAGGACGCGGGGCTCCCGGCCATCGTGAAGCGGAGGCGCGCACAGGCCGAACGGGACGTCGACAAGGACAGCGACCGGAAAGAGCTCACAGAGCTCTTCCCGTCCGACGACGAAGATGACGACGATGGTGAAGTCGACGACGATGGCGCAGGTGACGACGAGGAAGATCGTAGCGGGAGTTTGATCAAGGTTAAGAAGAAGAAGGGTGCGAAGAAAAGTGATGATGACGACGTTGATTTTGACATGGATGACTTTTCAGGGAGCGACCTAGAGGGCTTGTCCGACAGTGAAGACGAAGTCGATGTGAGAGGTAATAAAAAGGGGAATAAGGTCGAGAAGATGATAGAGAAGGAGAAGGAAGCGAAGGGGAAGAAGGGGAAAGAGCGAGCGAAACCCATCCCGGTCGCAGTGCTGAAGGACCTAGCTGAGGGAGGAGATGACGTTGTGGAAGACCTGGCGCTGTCGTCCGACGAGGGGTGATGACAACGACCTCCTCAGGGCACCAAGGTCCCACCCCCTCTCTCCTGCTCTCCATGACTCCTCGCCTGCTGCCCAACTTTCCCATTCTCTCCTCGAGTCTCCTGGACTCCCCCTAAATGTCCGCTCAAGTCCCCAGGACTTTAGACTCTCCCCAACTCTCCAATCCTCCCCATTCCAGACCTCTAGTCACAGTGAAACAATAACGTGAGGATTTCTCAACCAGTCGCGGTTGACCGTTTGTCAGCTGTCTTGTGGTTGTGCAGATGTAATGACGACAAATGTTGGCCAGCAGCAGTCGCGCACTCACAGCGAGAGGCCTGATGCTTCGTGTTGCTAACCAATACAATGGTTAGTCAAAAGGTTCTGAGCTGAACATAAATACACCAGAGTAGGTAAGCAAATTAAGAAACACGTTATTTATCAACCGATTTAACAGTACGTTTCTCGTGTTGCTGAAGCTTTTTCATTCCCTCCACCAATGTCTTTATTCCAGCCCAATAACCTTCAGCTCATCATCCTGATCTTCAAAGTGCTTTTCATTTGGATGATCCTTTAATTTTAGAAAACGGGTGGAAGTCATTGGGTGCCGGGTCTGAAGAAGAGGCGGTGATGTGGGAGTTTCTCCAAGTGGTTGATTGTTGACGTCGGTCTTGGACTGTGCTGGGGTATTGTCAGACAAATAAAAGTGGGTGTGCGATTCTCATTTTTCCACGATGCAGTCCATGGAGCCTGTCTAGTATTGAGCTGTGACCGTTTCCTTGTGTGGCATGAAGTCGAAGTGCGCCACAGCTCTAACATCCTACCACGCTGTGCACATGGACTTGTAGAAAACTCGAGACTTAAATTTATTTGGTCCTGGAGAAGTTGGACCTTTCCACTGCATGAACCGACTGGGCGGGGTCAATTGTGAATCCAAGTGACCTACAATGCTGTGCCCTGCCGGGTTGACGATACTTAACGTGGACTGCATTATCAATGGGCTCTGGTATTTCTTTTTCTGGAACAGAACTTTTTGTACCGCCCACGTAACACCCATTTTGTAACCGTTCGGGGAGGCTCGTTGAAGATGACACCAGTTCAAAGTTGCATTGCTTAAATGCAATCCAACAAGAGTCTCAAAAGGTGGTGGATGAAATGGTCCCTAAGGTGATTTAACAGATTCCTTTACCAACTTTGTACCAAGTTTTTCATTTAACTGCCACATGGACAAATATGTACTTTTCGACTGGATAAGATGTTTCAGTTGTGCTGTACAGTTCTCCGATGCTTTTTTGAGTTGTACCGCGTGTTGCTTGGCACAGTGTCCAACGTTTTACTCCATGTGCTAGGGAGCTCCTTTCTGTGATGTCCGACGTTTCATTCCACATGAGAACCTCCCAGGACATGGTACAACCCAGGAACACGTCGTAAGTTAGAACCTGGCTTTATTTCTTTTCGTATTAACAGAGTTTTTCATGCGTTTCACAGCCGGGGGTATGATTTCAATGTCACTTGACATCTGATCGACTTTGTTTTTGTCATTGTTTTGAGTAGTTATGCCTGTTATTATGGTGCCGTGTTTGTAACAAGACTACAATTCATTTGCAATAAACTCCCTTATCAATGTAAACGTTTCAGCCCTCATGAACAAGATGGAAATGATCCATACTCGCACGCGCAGTTCCCCCGTTTAGTCCCAATAAGAGACGATTAAACAAATTCTATTCTCGAGAGCCTATTAAGGCCAGAAACGAACGTCCACAAGGGTGGTAGGGTCAGCACCACATGCCCAGCCACCTTTGTCTCGCCGCATGCTACAACAGGCATATCCTTACAGGAACCCCCCCCCCCCACTGCCCCAGCCGCATAGGAAGTCAGTGAAATTTAAGTACAGTATCACTCACGGGTAGGTTATTTAAATCCATGCTGACGTGCAACAAAACAACCCAGGTTTCCCTCTCCCAGCCCCCCCCCCCCCCCCCCCCTGTGTCCACCGTTCGAATACAAATTAATCTCCATTCAAATACCAAGGAGATTGTTACATGCTGCACGTGTCTGATGATTGCTAAACAAGACCCACGTGATGATGACATAGACAGCACCGATCCAAATTCAGAGCTCTCGCATTGTATTTACTCGTCCTGTCATGATGCTTCGACTTATCTATTAACATCGATTCGTAAGAATGCAATAGTTTCTCATCTTGTTTTGTACATGACTGGACGGTGACATGGCCCAGCAGTAGGATGGTTGCTCCTTTGTCGCAGAGGTTTGCAGTTTGAATCCGACAGGCCATCTTGGTTATTACTGTGGGTGTATTAACCACACAGATTCCGTCCGCTTGACAGTGGACGTTAAAGAGCCCTTGAGATTTGAAATGAGTAGGCCACCGTCCCAGTGTCATGGTCCAAATTTGCCAAATTCAAAATAATACCGAAAAATTACTCGATTGGGAAAGCAATCATCACCTCCTGACAGACTAATGCCCGCTTGCATTCCAGGTGCCGAGTCCTCCTGTACCACACAGAGAAAGCTGTCACTGGGGGTCCCCTTTATATGTTTGTAATGAGGTGCGGCTGAAGGGTAGCACAGTGGTAACACTTTAGGCCTCTTCTTTGGTTCTTTCGGTAAAGTCATGTAGAATGAGAATAAAATAATAAATTGATAAAATAAAAACAATAAAATTCTCACGACGTTTCGGCCACAACACAAGCAGCCTTCATCACCTGATGATTCAAAATAATATTTTATTCTCATTCTACGTGACTTTACCGAAAGAACCAAAGAAGATGAATCCTTGCAGTCACGAAAGCTTTAAATCGAAACTTTAGGCCTCATCAACTGGCCTGGGTTAAATTGCCAACTCGGGCACTTATCTCTGTGAGGCACTCCTATGTTCTCCCCCCCGATCTGCATGTATGTATGTTGAACTTTTCGCACCGTACGTAGCCAACTGTGCTCATCGGAGGTCCATAGGTTTTCCTCCAGGTTGTCCAGTTTCCTCCCATAGCGGGGGAATAAGTGTACAATTTGACCAAACATACCAGTGCTGAAACATTTTAAAATTGCTCAATTGGGATAACATGGCAACATCGCCCCCCCCCCCTCCCCAACTGCAAAAACTTGGCACCACTCCTGAAAAGAGTGTCTTGAGACCCGTTGAGGCTTTCCTGGGTAAACCAGCATTATTTTACCAGTGAGTTGTGATGTAAGTCGCTCATCGTGTGTTAAGTGCCCTCGACGCCCCAGTGTAAAGAGTGCACGATCAAAATAGAATAATTATTAAACTACACTTACAAGAATTTTGATTTAAAGCTTTCGTGACTGCAGTAATTAATATTCTTAGCTCTTTCGGTAAAGTCACGTTGAAGGGAAACAATAAAATAATATTAATTTTATTATTTCCATTCAACGTGACTACCGAAAGAGCTAGGAATACATTTACAAGGGCAAAAATATATAGGGGATTCTTGGATCGCAACCGCCAAATGGTGACGATTCATCGCAAGCCAAGGAGGGTCAAGTCAAATGCCTCGTGCTTACCAATAATCGGGTGCGTGGAGCGTGTAAACACGTTGCATTCGATCGCAGTAAACACAGGTTTATTGTGGTGGGTCGCAAGGCCTGGAGTTGGACAACCGTGCCACCGCGTGTAGTTCATGCATACTGCGTGTGGTTTGTGGTGGTTTGGTTTGTGGTTGTTTGGTCTATGTGTGGTAGTTCACTGTGTAAGTGGGGTTTGTTGTTCACTGTGTGGTAGTTCACTGTATGAGTGGGGTTTGTAGTTCACTGTGGGGTTTGTAGTTCACTGAGTGGGGTTTGTAGTTCACTGTGTGGTAGTTCACTGTGTATGAGTGGGGTTTGTAGTTCACTGTGTGGTAGTTCACTGTGGTTGAGTGGGGTTTGTAGTTTACTGTGAGTGGGGTTTAGTTTACTGTGTGTGAGTGCGGTTTTTAGTTATTCTGTGGTAGTTTACTGTGTGTGAGTGGGGTTTGTAGTTTACTGCGTGTGAGTGGGGTTTGTAGTTAACTGTGTGGTAGTTCAGCCGGCATGTGGGTTGCGGTAGTTCCTCCCAGCGTATTTTGCCTCTGAGCCGAGCTCCTCTTCAATTCTGTTGAACAGATGCAGCTTTAGACACAGGCGCGTATACACTCGGGTTCATACAGGTGTGTGTGTACAAGAGCACAGGTACATACCAGGCGTGTGTGTAAACGTGTCTATGTGTCAGTGACTAATGTCTGAACCGATCTTCGGCCTCCCCCTAGGTCAACTGAACTTTAAATGAGAACCTCTGTGGTGTGTAAACATCAGCACTGGGGAGACAAAGGCGGTCGGGCGTGGTGCTGAGCACCCACCCCCTCGTGTGCCGTTGCCTCCCTTAATAAGTGCTCGCTAACAGCACTTGTCCCAGGAGCCTGTTAAAGACTTTATGGGGCATCTTTGTCATTGCTTTTGTGTGTGTGTGCGCGCGCCAGAAGAAGCGTGGTACCGGATGAGCTGGTTGTATTTTGCCAGCCTCTCTGAGCGACACGCAGCACCCGTCTTGATCTGGAACCGCACACAGGAGAGGGGGGTTGCGCACCAGTAGACAAAGTGTACACGTCCATAGACGTGTGTGTGTGTTATTGTGTGTGTATGCATGTGTAGTGAGTCTAACTGAGTCTCGGACGTTATCCTGGGAGCAACACTATTTATTACGCAACTTAAACACAACATCACACAATCTACGCTCGGGTCTCGAATGCCCATCTAACCACGCTATGGCAGAACTAGACACGGTTCGCTATCCCGGTCCGGACCACAAGCTGGGTCCCAGACCACGTGGTTCGAGGCTTCTTCTCCCCGACGTGGAACTTCTTCACACCAGCACACGAAGAACCCCGAGCTCCTCACGGGGCCCCCGTTTTTTCCCCTGGGCTGGGGCTGGCTCCGCCCTTCGCCCCGCCCACCTTCCAGATCTCTCGAGCTCTTTCTCGAAGGCTCCCGAGAGCTCCTTTAGACCACGTGACCGCCCCACGGCCCCCGTCCACCGGTGGCCCCCCTCCAATATCATCCGGTCACGTGTCAGCAGGTCAACCAGCGTATCATGCCCCAACGTAACCCTGGCTGGCTGACGCTCCCTCACCGGGAGCCCGCACTGCATACTGCTCGCGGTGCCTCCGCGCTGACCAGCGCTCACCCAAACCCCGCTAGGGCTGGTACTACGCCCCGTAAGCTGGCTACACATAATATCAGCACATCCGCCGTGGCTTTGTAAGCCCGGCACCACACAGTGACAATCACAGGCACTATACGTGTGTGTATGTGTGTCGACTAAACCTCAAATGAGTACCTGGTTGAGTGTGTAAAATCATTGCCACTGGGGAGACAAAGTCGGCCGGGAGTGGTGCTGGCCACCCACCCCCTCGTTTGCTATTCCGACCTTCATAGGTGCTCGCTAACAGCACTTGCCCAAACAGTCTGTTAGAGGCTATACGGGAGGGGGAGTGGTCTTTGTCTTCTTTAATATATGTGGTGTGGGACGCGGTAGCGCACTACGTTTTAAACCCGTCGACCCGTGCTCGAATTTTGTCTATGTTTACCTGTCCGGCTCCGAGGCCTACGGCAAGGTCTGCGATGAAGGGATCCTCAGTCTCCCCGGAGCGGTGACTCACCACCACTCCCCACCCGTGCCGGCGAGCAGCCCTCCACCTGCAGCACAACGCGGCACACGACTCAGTACGGCCTATGCTGGACTACTGACCACAGCATACACTATACAACACAGGTCACATAGCATACACCATACACTAAACATTACTCATACAATACACTATACACTACTCATAGCATACACGATACACTTCATAGTGTACACTATACACTACTAGCATACACGACGCTACACAGCATTCATAACTGCAGCATGCACAAAATGTATGTTCGTGAATATCTGTATGCGAGTATGTGCATATGCGGTGTATAAACATCGCCACAAGGGGGACAAAGACGGCCGGGCGTGGTGCTGGCCACCAACTAGGCCTCGGCAAGGTAAGGTAAAGGGTAAAAACAACGAGCCTACCTTTACCCTACCCTTTACCCTTACCCCATACAAATTACCCGAGTACAGGGAAATTACTGGGGTACTGCACATGAAAAAGGTTTATAACAGGTAAATGCGAGGTAGAGTGTGAATGTGTGTCTGTTCGAAATGTTTAGCATACTTTCTGACATGCAACAAACTTGAAATTTGGCATGTGGGTAGCTTCCAGACTGTACACAATGCAAAAAGTATAAAAATAGACTTTTGTATTTTTTTTGGGGGGGGGCGGGGCGCAATAATGGATATATATTGCACGGCAAGTGAGCCGGTGACGTCACATCTGTGATGTCACCCGCATGCGGCAGCGTCACGCAGTGTGCATGCTGACATCACGCCCCCCCCCCCAACCCTCCGCGTAGGCCGTGTATTAATTCAAGACAAGAATCCAAGTCCCGGGCGAAGCCGGGGAGTAAAGCTAGTATAGAAGACTCGATTTCAATTTTAAATGGAGGTCACAGACTGCGCCACGGAGCTTTTGGCGAGCTGTAAACAAGGTATTTACCGGGTAATACTTCTGCGCTACCTTTACCATACCGGGTAATTATTCCGCGCTACCTTTACCATACCCTTTACCTTACCCCTTGGCATGTCGACACCTTTACCCTTTTACCCGGTAAAAAGGGTAAATTACCTTATCTTGCCGAGGCCTACCACCAACCCCCTCATTTGCCGTGCCTGTTTTCATAGGTGCTACTCGATAAAAGTAATGACCCCAACAGTCTGCTAAAGCTATATAGGGGATATTTCTGTGTGAGTTACGTACCTGCGGATGGTCTGCATGAGTACGTATGTGATTGTGTGTTGTTTTGCGTGTGAGTGACGTACGCACGAATGCCCAGCGTGAGTATTTGTGTGTGGTTGTGTGTGTGTGAGTGACCTACGCGCGGATGGTCTGCGTGAGCGTCCCCGTGTGAGTAAGTGACAGCGTGAGGCTGTTGCATGCTTGCTGTCCAGCCGCCAGCTCCACGCGCGACTCACTGCTCACGGTCAGAGAGTCTCCCACCTACACACCCACACAATCGGCGTGTATACAAACAGGTATAATATACAGGTACAGATACACACTTATATACAACTGCCGTTTGCTACTCGGTGGCAGTGACGTCACCATGGCATCTGTGCCAGGCTAGGTGTACCTTGAGGCATACCTGTAAACTCCTTATCAGTGCCTACCTTATTACAGACCAATTCAGACCTTATTGGTCACTCCGTGCCCTTATAAATCTCAACGTTCATCCTTTGAAGTCCCATCACATGGGAGAAACACAAACAAATAGATATTTTTTTGCCCGTATTGAAACGGCTGCACGCCGTATGGACCTGAAAACTCAATTTGCCTGTACAAGAATACGGGTAAACCGTGTGGGTTGACACGGTATGTTGAGGCCACGTGAAGTGTTAAGGTGCAAGTAAACACAAAAACAAAGATTCCCCATATGACCATAACAGACTGTTGAAGGCCGGCACGGCACGAGGGGGTGGGTGGCCAGCACCACGCCCGGCCGCCTTTGTCTCCCCAGCGGCGATGTTTACTACACCGCACCAGGTACTCATTTGAGGCCGAGTCCATCTTGAGGAGGCCCAAAACTGGTTCAGATATTCATCACCATTATTAGCTGCGAGTGGGAATTGGACCCCATCGCCGGGTTCAAAGCGTGATGTGCTAACGTGTACACAGGTTCATAGTAAAGGTTTTTTGGGTTGGATCCCGTAAGTATAAATGTGTCGAAACCCTCCACAACCCGACACAGCCAATTAGTAAGGGATTTGTCACGTAAACAAAACGTGCCAATCAGTAGTTACTACTTCAGCACACCGGTGTGTTGGAGAGTAAATCCACAACATTTACAATTTGAGTACGACGTTTCGCTGGTAATTACATCCAGCATCATCGGGCGATTTGCCAGAATGGTGAAGCAATCCACCTGCTTCCGGTCGTAAATAGAGTAAGATGACGTCATCACTGAACCCATCAGGTGCACACAAATTTACATATACACGGGTATGCACACACGTTCACTAGCACATACAGCGACACATACAGGTAAACTATAGGTAAAGATGGTTCATGAATTTAATCGGGTATAGCAATGGTTAATTGCAGTGAATGTGTTAAATCTGACGTAATGCTGGTTACTGGCAGGAATGACGTTGAATCTTGCTTAATGGTGATGACAGCTAGTTAATGAGTTAATTTTGGTTCAGGAATGGTTACTGGCTGGTTTATGCATTACATCTCACCACTTGGAACGATCCAGACTCTGTGAATTTAGACCAGGCGGTCCAGTCATCTTGGTCGAACGGATCTTCAAACGACACCACTGCAACAACATTGTCATCGTGGAATCATGAGTACATTTGGTATGTGCGCCATTCTTATAGCGCCATGCTATCGCGAAAGGCACTGTGTTTCACAGTCTGCAGTAGTTTCGCACGAGGGGGGGGGGGGGGGGCGATGTTGCGACATGTTTCCCAACGAAGCAAGTTGCTGATGTATTTTCAAATTTGGACCATGACACTGGCGCACTGCCAGAAGGCCATGTGGCTGATGGGATGAGTAAAATGAATACAATTTTCATGCAGAGAGAGCTATTAGAGTACGAAACGTCGTACTCAAAATATAATGTGGGTTTACGCTCCAACACACCGGTGTGCTCAAGTCGTAACTGATTGGCACGTTTAGTTCACGTGACAATCCTTACTAATTGGCTGTGTCAGGTGGTGGTGGGTTTACGACGCATTTGTATTGACGCGATCTAACCCAAAAACCTCTGAATTATTATGAGGAGACATTGTCTGCTTATTTGTTTTGTTACATTGGTACAAATTATAAGTTTGCATTACTTTTTTCGTATGATGTCAAGGGATATTTAACATCCACTGCGATGATTTAGACACTGTATATTTCATGGTTAACACACCCGCAGTAGCGATATAAATCACCAGCGCCACCATCACCACGAACATCACCAACACCACCGTCGTCACAGCGAAACACGACCGATACCACCATAATTATCATCGTCATCATCACACCGATATTAAGTACCTTGGAAATCCTTGGCGAGGTCTCGGTAGCTCTGAGCCAAAGTGTCTGCTGAGATTAGGGAATCCTCCTGCCCTTCCTCCTGCCGAGTGGTAATGTCCGGGTCAATGTCAAGTTTCATCACAGTGTACAGTCATGCAAAGTCAACGTTGGTTACAAAGTTTATTTTTTATGCAGCCACTAGGCTACTAATTACAGTGCCTGGAAGATATAACGGTGTGTGAGCATACCCGCGTGTGTGTGTCTGTGTCTGTGCGTGGGCATCGGTAGTCTAGCAATTAGCGATTATCTGAAGTGATCCTGGGCCTCGCCTAGTTCGACTCAGCCTCAAATGAGTACCTGGTGCGGTGTGTAAACTGGGGAGACAAAGGCAGTTGGGCATGGTCCTGGCAACCTACCCCCTCGTGTGCCGTTGTTTGGCCTTCATAGGTGCTCGCTAACAGAACTCGCCCCAACAGTCTGTTAAGGCTATACGGTGGATCTTTTCGTGGTAAATCTCGTACTTACCTGTATCTGTATTTACATGTGTGGTACATCCCGTGCATACCCGTGTGTATGCATGCACCTGTGTATGTGGTACATCCCGTGTGTGTACCTGTGTGTGTACCTGTGTGTGTACCTGTGTGTGTGCGGTACATGTCGCCTGTGTACCTGTGTGCGTGTGTACCTGTGTGCGTGTGTACCTGTGTGTGTGTGGTACATGTCGCCTGTGTACCTGTGTGCGTTTGCGGTACATCCCATGCACGTGCAGGTCCGATGCTGCCGCGTCAATACCTAGCACCACCGCGTCCTGGTTTCCCGAGCGCTGCACAGCCTCACGCACCAGCTGTAGCGCTGCACACACACACATTACGCACGCATTAAACACATTACACACACACATATTACACACATATTACACACACATTACGCACGCATTAAACACATTACACACACACATTACACACACATTACGCACGCATTAAACACATTACACACACACATATTACATTCACATTACGCACGCATTAAACACATTACACACACATTACGCATGCATTAAACACATTACACACACACACATTACACACACATTACACACACACATTACACACACATTACGCATGCATTAAACACATTACACACACACACATTACACACACATTACGCACGCATTAAACACATTACACACACACATTACACACACATTACGCACGCAATAAACACATTACACACACACACATATTACATTCACATTACGCGTGCAATAAACACATTACACACACATTACACACACATTACGCACGCATTAAACACATTACACACACACACATTACACACACATTACACACATTGAATACAGACACAGACCCCGATACCCGTTGTCACTTCTGCAGCAGGTATACAACGTGGTGCATCCTGGGTTCACAGTGCAGAAGAGGTGTTTGCGTGTTTTGTCGCCACGAAAATTTTCACACTTCTCCTGCCCGCCAATCACGCCGCTGCCTGGTTGAGAACCGCCGCTCTAAGAGCTAAATGAATAGATCAATTAAGTAAAGACCACATTTTCTATCATATCTGCTTTGTGTGCAGGCATAGGCGGAGGTCATAGTGACTATACCTGAGAACCATGTTCAAAATCATGGGCGACTGAAACCTGAATTTAAACTTAGGACCTCAGTGGTGCCAGCTCAGTGCTCTGATACGGTATTAGCCCCTAGAAAGTAGGTAGGCGACGAGCCATCTGTGGAATGGGGGCCCCAGAGGCCTGTCCCGCTCAGCCATCTGGGCCACCGCTGTTCGGTGTCATTCTCCTCTACCCCCCGTAACGCGAAGTCGTCAGCTGCAAAGGTGGGTTCACACTGGACTGCTTAATGCAGTGATGTAATGGCCACTTTAAACCCCATTATTATTTTCATCAGCAGCATGAGCATCATAATTATATGAAGTATAACTGTCAGGTTTAACATTTTGAGGTTTGTAAGGACCATTGCGGATCATTTTTGGCTCTTCGGGTCATTTACATTATTGAATAACGTAACGTCTTCATGCTAAAAAAAGTAATGTCAGTCTATGCATGGGGACGCCACTTTTAGGAGCAAAGGCACAGAACTGATGTCATGTGTGACATTATTTAACATATCAATCGGAAAAAAAATGTTTGGCTCATCCCCAACCTTTAAACCTAGCATTGATATGTTAGTTTTTGAGAAGGATCTGAAAATTGGGAACACATCTCTACATCATATTATTATCATAAGCATCACTTAAGCGATTTTACAGGAGTGGTGGAGAGTTAGGGGCGCAGAGGAGTTTCCTTCGGACCGCACTATCGCACGGGAAGGGAGGGCTGGATTTGAACTTATTTCCTTTTTTTATTTAAGGGGCACCACGGTAGTGAGATATTATCTTCCTCGTCCAGTATGCAGGAGGTATATTTGGAGTTTGCAAGTTCTCACCGTGGTCGCGTGAATCTTTTGTCCATGCATTTAGGTTATTTTGCTGCTATACATTTCCACATGATAAGCCACTTTGTTGAGCTACCATTTGTGGCCAGGTTGCTTATGAACAATAAGCTAATAGAGTGGGCTTTACCTGGTAGGGATAAAAAAATAAGTTTAGTTTTATTCGCATATATTTTTATGTCAATTGTTTACCTTTTCTATACTTTGCACTCCTGTCGTGGTTTTGTAATTGTTTGTTGTTGCAACTTTCTGACCCACCCCTCCTGGACATCTGTGAAATGGAGCTTTAGAGCCCATCAGATTCTTCCAGTATAAATAAAGGTTCTGATCCCGATTCGGGGCTGGATTCGTGCGCCACCCATCAGACCGTACCATCGCGTGCGGAGGGCAGGCTGAGCGAGAACGCGCCCTGGTCGCCCACGTTGGTGGCGCCCACCCCTTGGCGCTCGCGAAGCAGCGCGTGCAGCGCGTGGTGCACCTCAGCGCCACGCCGCACCGCGTCGTGCAGCGAGCTCGCGCCCACGGGCAGCACCAGCACCTCCTGCAGGCCCTGCACGCCCCCGCCATCCGCGTGCACGCCCCCTGCCAGCACGTTCAGCACCTGCAACAGGGACGATGGGGGAGGGAGGGAAAGAGATGGGTCGCGCGGAAGGATGGAGACAGCGGTAGACGCAGTAGTAGCAGCAGTAGTAGCCATCGTTTACATCAGCTACAGCTGCACTTGTGTGTTTTTGTGGTATGTGTGGGGAGTGGTAGTTGTTGCAGGTTGTTGCACTACACTACGAACCTGGCAACCTGAGTTCGATTCCTGCTCACGACCAATATCAGTGACGAACATCCTGGGCCTCCCCTAGGTCGACTCAGCCTCAAATGAGTACCTGGTGCGGTGTGTAGTAAACATCGCCACTGGGTAGACAAATGCAGCTGGGTGTCGTGTTGGCCACCCACGCTCTCGTGTGCCATGCCGGTCTTCATAGGTGCTCGCTAACAGCACTTGTCACAACAGTCTGTTAAAGGCTACACGGGGGATATTTGTGTTTGTCTTCGTGTGTGCGTGGGGAACGGTAGTGCAGCAAATAGCACGCTTCGATATGAACGCGGTGGCCCAAGTTCGATTCCCGTTCACGGCCAACACCAGTGACAATGATCTGAACCAGTCTGGGCCTCCCCTAGCCTGGCTCAGCCTCAATTAAGTACCTGTAGGGTGCAGTTCATAAACATCGCCATTCAGGAGACAAAAGCGGCCAGGAAATAGTGCTGAACACCCACCTCCTCGTGTGCCGTGCCGGCTTTCATCGGCGCTCACAAACATCGCTTTCCCAAAAGGTCTGTTAAGGCTATACGGGGGATCTTTGTTGTTGTTATGTGTGTGTTACCGGTACTGGGAGCACTAAGTTGGTGTTCCCCGCCAGATGGGCAATGTGTTTGTAGAGCGGCACGTCGCTCTCCACCGCGCCAGCCTTGCACACGGCCACGCTGACCCCCAGCAGCCCGTTGCACCCAAACCGAGCTGCACACACCCACAACAACACCACCACCAACAACAACAATAACAACTACATAGTTAGCAACACCATCAATAACACCGCTAACACCATCAGCAACAGCGTTAACAACATCAATTTCCCAGACTTAACTGGTCAGGAGGCATTCATGATTGCACATGCCATTCTCTTCTGCATAGAAGTGCATCATGAAGATCTCCTGAGCAGTAAACCCTCGGAAACTGGTGCGTGGAGCAGCGAGATGTAATGGTCTCAGCATCATTGGATATCGAATCGTTCGGAGATGAAATCACTACGGTTGGAGAAGCATTTTTCTGGTAAGATCGTTCTTTATCCATAAATTGTTTAGATATTCAGTCTCAACCCCCAACCACCATAATGGATGTTACCAATAGCAACAACATCACCAGCAACTACCCCCAATAGCAATAAGGAAAGTAACAACAACTTGAACAACACCATATTCTTTGGTTCTTTTGGTAAAGTTATGTAGATAGAAAAATAATAAAAATAAAGTGAATAAAATTTTTAAAAAACATTAATGTAGACTGTAGCCTGGTTATTACGTTTGGTGAGTGTACTGGCAGTCTATAGCATAGACTGTAGTAATGTCTTTTAAGCTTAGTTTCCCCAATGTAACTGCTGCCGCAGATACAGCTTAGTTTGTAGACGCCGGCGGAATATTGCATGTCAGGAATCTTGTCCTTCACAGATGGGATCAGATCACGCATTTTATGTACTGTTAAATCGGACCTGGATCATGTGTTTGTTCATGATTTTGGAAATCTTTTTGGTTACCCCTGCTATGTATGGCAGGGTGATGGTTTTGATTGGATCCTCAGATGGCTCCTTCCTCACGGTTGGGGTGATGGCTTTGCGGATTGTGTAGTCAGAATATCCATTTGCCTTGAGAGCTTGGTGTACGTGTTTGAGTTCACTGGTTAGGTGTTCATGGTCGGAGATACATTGAGCTCTATGGTGTAGTGTTTTGATGAGGGATTTTTTCTGGGATGGATGGTGGTGGGAATTAGGTTTTAGGTAGTCGTCAGTATGGGTTGCTTTCCTGTAGACAAAATGGCTCATTGAGCCATCTGGTCTCTTTTTGATTAGGACATCCAAGAAAGTAAGCATGCCATACTCTTCTACCTCCATGGTGAATTTGATCGCTGGTGTATGGAATTGATGTGGTTGAGGAATTGGTTCAGAGCTGGTCGGCCATGTGGCAAGATGACAAATGTGCCATCCACGTACCTCTTCCACAAGGACGGGCGTAGAGTGGATGCCTGGATTGCGTCCGTCTCGAAATTTTCCATGAAAATATTGGCTACAACCGGAGATAAGGGAGAACCCATTGGGGTGCCTTCAGCTTGTAGAATGTTCTATTCGAGATGAAGTATGTATTGGTGAGGCAGTGTCTCACCAGGGCCGGTACATCAGCATTCAGTCCTTGTTGGACCAAATCTTTAATGATTGCAATGGTATCGGGCACAGGAACTTAGGTGAACAAAGAAACTACATCGAAACTAACGAGCAAATCACCTGGGGAAAGTGGGATGTCCTTAATTGATGATACTAGGTGAGATGAGTTAAGTACAGAAGAGGTGGTCTTACCAGTGAATGGCTGCAAGGTCTCAGACAGATATCGGGCCAGTTTATAGGGGGGTGAGACAATGGTGGAGACGATGAGACAAAGGGGTGTACCTCCTTTATAGATTTTTGGAAAGCCATATAATCTGGCTGGTCTAGCAGCAGAAGGTTTTAAGGAAAACCGTTTGGTCTGTTCAATTAATGAAGCTGAATCAGTGATGATACTGTTCGTTTTTGTAACAAGGCTGCTGGTGGGATCTCTTTTGATTTTTGTGTAGCTACCATCATTAAGTAGGTCCTGAATTTTGTTATTGTACACGGTTTTGTCCATGATGACCGTGGCATTGCCCTTGTCGGCTGAGAGGATGACGATATCATCCCTCTGTTTCAATTGAGATAGCTCAAAACTCTCATCCTTACTGATGTTGCTGAACAACACCAGTCACAACAACGACATTAACAAAGACAAAGACCCCCCCATTTTGACTTTTATACACTGCTCAATCTAGTGCTGTTAGTGAGCACCTATTCAGGCTGGCACAGAGTGCTGATACTTTAGACACTTCGCCAGGTACTCATTTAAGGCTGAGTCGAAGTTGGGGGAGGGTCGGGACTGGTTGAGATATCACTCGCCACTGATGTTAGCAATGGTCGAACTTGGGACGGCCAGGTTCTTCTTCCAGTGCACAAACTACTGCGCCACCACGCCCCATAATAACAGGAAGAACATAGGGAATACCAGCTGACAGCCTCAGAATAATAATATCCTTTATCCGTGAAAGCCTTGCCGTGTCTCAAGACCCTTTTTTTCATGAGGCTGCTGCACTGGGATGTTTGGCCAATTCCATGAATGAGTGTTTCACTTTGCGTGTATAGTGGTATAGTAGTGGCTGCTGGCAGAAAAGGGGAACTGCGGTGTATGGCAGTACTCGCATCAGCAGGCCACGATATATACGAGAGGGGGGTATCTAGGGGGAAAGGTCAGAGAAGGGGCCCATAGAGAACCCGCTAGTAGGTTCCAGAAAGGGGGCATGGCCGAGGTGGAGCAAGGCCACGCTGGGAGTATAAGAGGGGGCCCTGAGCGGGAGCTCAGGGCTGTTGCTGGAAATGGAATCTCCGTCGTGCTGTTCAAGACCATCGTCGTCACCATCTCGTCGTCGTCACCATCTCCTCATCGTCATCTCCGTCTTCACCATCCCGGGGTGCTATTAGTCAGACCGCCTACCAACTGTTCTAAGTAGTGCCGCTAGACGGTCTTAACTATAATAGTGTGCACCCACGTATGGTGTTGTGTATTATCCCGATGGTGCTTGTTAAAGAAGTGCCTCCAAGCATGACTGTCTCCGATCTGCGTCACTACACGTGGAAGGATAATAGTCGAGTACCCAGAGAAACCGACCACACATACGAGGGGAAACTCAAAGCTCCACCACACAGATTTACTCAAGAATCTATTTTACTCGACAGTACTGCCATTTACTGGCCATCTCAGGACCTATGAGTATTCCGAATCTCTGCATGATCCACCTACCCTTGCTTCCAAAACGCTGGTTTACAGACATGCTCCACCGCACCGCAATGGTGGATATCACCACAGCACCTGTGCCAGGCTAGGTGCACTTTGAGGCCAGTTTTGAAGGTTACCAGTGTTATAGGCTCACTGAAATGACCGGAAGATGCACCACCTGTGCTGACGACTGTGTTTTATTTGCCCGGTGCTCCGCTCGTTGGTGTGAGCATCGCCCCAACATCTCTGTTGCTCAAGGGCGGCCGCCATCAGTCACCCTCCAGGAAATTTCAAGCGCGGCGAGGGGGAGGTGAGGTGAGAGCTCACACAGGTTAGCGGTTCCATCCATGGCCACGAGGAGGTCATCGATCTTCTCCTGATCCTTGACATTAACGTCCTGAAAACAAGAGGCATCAAGCACCACTCAACCACACGATGATGATGTTGGCAATGATGATGTTGGCGATGATGATGATGATGACGACGTCATGCATCATCGCAGTAAACATGCAACGCTGGCCTAACGTTGCATATCTACTCAGACACTTTACTGATAACCCAATTATCACACGATGTTGGCGATGATGATGATGATGATAACGTCATGCATCATCGCAGTAAACATGCAACGCTGGCCTAACGTTGCATATCTGCTCAGGCACTTTACTGATAACCCAATTATCACACAGCCGATAGCTTACAGGCCATTTGTAAGACAACGTGCAGTGATTGACACAATGGCTTTTCCTGTATTTTCAAAAGCTGCCATTCAGCTTTTCTTTCACAATGTATGTAGCCAACCGTGCTAATATATAGCACTGTACATACACAGAGTAATATACATACACATGTATACAGGATATAAACGTACACACTGTGTATATTGTTTATGTATGCTTATTTACCTCGGAGAGCTTCACTGAGTCTCAACTCCTTTTTATCACAGTAGGGGGCGATGTTGCTGCTCTGTGTGTGATCCCAACTGCATTGGGATGTTTGCAGCAATGGGATCACGCACAGTAGCAACATCGCACCGGTGTGCTGTACTAGTGACGAATTGGCATGTTCTATTTTCGTGACAACCCTTACTAGTTGGCCGTGTCGGGTGGTGGCGGGTTTAACGAGACATTTATACAGTAAAACCTTAGATTGCGGGTAACTTGGTCTGCGAGTGTTTTGCAAGACGAGCAATTTTTTTAAATAAATATTAATTTGATAAACGAGCGAGGTCTTGCAATACGAGCAGTACGTATACGCTTTGTCTGCCGAGCGTCACGTGATCACAACTGATATACGAGTGCTTTGGATTACAAACACGTTTCCAGAACGAATTATGCTCGCAATCCAAGGTTTTACTGTATATTTACGTGATCTAACCCAAAAAACCGGTATTATGGAGCATTGGGATGTTTGGCCAAAATTGTATGGGTTTATTTTCGGCTTTGGGATGAAACCGGAGAAGCCAGAGGAAACCCATGCAGAACAAGGGGAGAGAATACAAACCCAGGCCCTTCTTGCTGCGAGGCACACTGTGCCACCCTGCCGCCCTCCCGTTCACACACGTGGTCAATACATGCACAGCAAAGACACATCCACGAGAGACACACATACTTGCCTGACTGCAGAGTGCAGGACCAATGTACTGATTGATGTACTTCACCACACGGGACACGCCTATACACACACAAACCAAGTTAATACTGGTAGGAACCTCCTGGTTACTACACCACCAGCCCACAGGGGATTATTGTGTCCGTCCGTCCGTCGTGCATCCAAAAATGGGAGGGGTGGGGCTGGGTGGAGAGGGGAGGGTGGGGAGGGGCTGGGTGGGGAGTGAGGGGCTGGGTGGGGAGAGTGGGGAGTGGCTGGGTGGGGAGGGTGGGGCTGGGTGGGGGGTGGGAGGGGTGGGGCTGGGTGGGGAGGGACTGGTCACCCCGTGGTGCCCTTATAAAACTCAACATTTAACCTACTCACGCCGGCTTGTGCCCGCCCTCACAGTCGGGCATATTTGCGGAATACACCACGTGGTGGTGCCGCCGTGTGACCCTGGCCATTGACCGAGCAACCCAACGTTCCTACCAGCTCCCTCCGCAGGAGAATGTGTTCCTTGCAGACTACTGAGGCGATTACTTTTAGTGAGCACCTATTAAGACCGGCACAACACATTAGGCAGAGACAGTAGGGTTGCCACCTATCCCGGGTTTGGTGGTATAGTGTTGAACTTTATGATGGTACACTGTGCATACTGCCCAGTTCTGATAAACCTAGACTGGCTGAGATATATGTCCAGGCTTGATGTATGGGAAAAGCTGGCAACCCTACCAACCCAATCGCCGACGAACTCACTCATCGACTCAATCATTCATTCACTCATTCATTTTCCAAGTCACCCACTCACTCACCCACTCGCTCTCTCACCCATTAGGGCTGCCACCGGTCCGGATATGATGCGGCCAGTCCAGAGTTGGCATCTGTGTTCGGGTGGCAAGGTTTGATTTGTACTGATATTTGGTACTGGTATTGTGTTGAACTTCATTCCAGTCGACTGCACAGTTTTGATAGACCTAGGCTGACTGAGAAATGTCTGGGTTTTGTCAATGTGAGAAGTGGCGTCCCTAGGATGTGGTCATGCCAGTATCATGGACACAGCTGAGAACGTGATGACGAACTTTCTTTCTAAATTTGTAGATGCTCTGTCACCTTTGTCTCCCGACTGCTGATGGTTCATGACCACACCACGGCATCGGGTTCCTATTTAGACTGGGTGTACTGTGAGGGACCCTCATAGTTCATAGTTAATTTATTTGGTATAGCCCTGTGAGCCATTCGGCTCTTGAATTGGGTGCAACCGCAACAAACAAAAAACATGAACAAGAAAACATCATCTAGCAGCGCAGTGACAAAGGGCTGTACGTGTATCGTGGAACGTGTTACAGGGTATCTCCATATCCTCCCGTCTCTACTTGTCTCCATATGTCTCCCAATGACATCACCTGTCTCCCCGTATGTTCCCAATCCTTAACTAATTAGTATAGTTAGTTTTGTTTGTGTCTCCCTGTGGGTTTCTCTCCCGTGCCCCCCCCCCCCCCCATGTCTGCTCAACCCTTCCCATGCCTTCCCAGTATATCCTCGTGTCACCTTGTCCGAGGAATCGCGTCTTGTCTCCGTCTCTCAGCTCCGTGGGCTCGTGAGCTCCGCGGGAGACGCCACTCGGCACAGACGCCCGGAAGAGCCCTGAGTGGAGACCAACGACACTCTGTTCACCTCACTCACCTGGCAGTTGTAGGGATAAGTATGGGAACGATTCATTGAATGTGTGGATGAATTTACAAAGCATTGGTTGGGTTGCTGTGAATGCTAATGGGAGGCCATTAAATAAACGTGATTCGCGATTGATGTGCACCTTCAATCAAATACCTGCATGTAGGTATCTGCTTAAGCACTCATTAATTGGTTTAAAATACCTTAACATATAGAGGACCATAAAGTTCGGGTAACTCTTGTTAGTGTCAGCTCTGTCTCGCTGCCTCCCTGTTGTGGTTCCTTGTGACTCTTCCATGTGTTACAAATTGTAAAGCATATTTTAGATGCAAGCTGCATGAATGACACTGTATAAAACTAAACCATCATTCATAGTGGTCCCCATATTACAGATTAATTGTTAAGTGCATTTCACTTATCTTGGAACCCTCAGAGGACAACAACTAATCGTAGCTTACTGCTCTGCTACTTACCGGTTGTGCAAGGGCACCACCATCTTTGATCACTGATGCATCTGAAATATGTTGACTAAATATAACTAAATATTGCACATGAATACCAGGGTTATGAATAATTCATCACACGATTAAAACTCTCTCACCGACACAAAGGGGCAGGGTGTCGCAGTGATAACACTTGTGCCTCACAGCAAAAAGATCCTGATTTTGATTCCCAACTCGATTTGACGACTTTCTGTGTGGAGTTTGCATGTTCTCTTCCCCTGTTCTGCATGGGTTCCCTCGGTATTCTCCAGTTTCCTCCCATAGCCATAATGTAAGTGGAATTGGCCAAACATCCCAATGCAGACAAAATAACCTAAAAATTACTCAATTGGGATCACACATAGCGACGTATGTGAACACTTAATAGGACCCTCCTTAAAGAGAGTTGTGAGGCTCGCGAGGAAGCTTTAATGGGTAAATAAGCAGAATAATAAATAGGCTACAGTGTGAGAAGTGTGTTATTGAAACACCTTTGTATATGTATGTGTGTGTCTATGATCCTCACCTTTGTGTGTGTAAAGATCCACCTCCACTGTGGGATTCCCTCTTGAGTCGAAAATTTGCCGAGCGTGAATCTTGAGCACAGACATGTCTGAGCACACAGACACACAAAGATACAGATACAAAGACAAAGATGCCCCACATAGCCTTAACAGGTTGTGGGGGCAAGTGCTGTTCGTGAGCACCTATGAAGACCGGCACAGCGTACAGTGAGGGAAACAAGTATTTGATCCCCTGCTGATTTTGTACGTTTGCCCACTGACAAAGAAATGATCAGTCTATAATTTTAATGGTAGGTTTAATTGAACAGTGAGAGACAGAATAACAACAACAAAATCCAGAAAAACGCATGTCAAAAATGTTATGAATTGATTTGCATTTTAATGAGGGAAACAAGTATTTGACCCCTCTGCAAAACATGACTTAGTACTTGGTGGCAAAACCCTTGTTGGCAATCACAGAGGTCAGACGTTTCTTGTATTTGGCCACCAGGTTTGCACACATCTCAGGAGGGATTTTGTCCCACTCCTCAGATCTTCTCCAAGTCATTAAGGTTTCGAGGCTGACGTTTGGCAACTCGAACCTTCAGCTCCCTCCACAGATTTCCTATGGGATTAAGGTCTGGAGACTGGCTAGGCCACTCCAGGACCTTAATGTGCTTCTTCTTGAGCCACTCCTTTGTTGCCTTGGCCGTGTGTTTTGGGTCATTGTCATGCTGGAATACCCATCCACGACCCATTTTCAATGCCCTGGCTGAGGGAAGGAGATTCTCACCCAAGATTTGATGGTACATGGCCCCGTCCATCGTCCCTTTGCGGTGAAGTTGTCCCGTCCTCTTAGCAGAAAAACACCCCCAAAGCATGTTTCCACCTCCATGTTTGATGGTGGGGATGGTGTTCTTGGGGTCATAGGCAGCATTCCTCCTCCTCCAAACACGGCGAGTTGCGTTGATGCCAAAGAGCTCCATTTTGGTCTCATCTGACCACAACACTTTCACCCAGTTGTCCTCTGAATCATTCAGATGTTCATTGGCAAACTTCAGACGGGCATGTATATGTGCTTTCTTAAGCAGGGGGACCTTGCGGGCGCTGCAGGATTTCAGTCCTTCACGGCGTAGTGTGTTACCAATTGTATTCTTGGTGACTATGATCCCAGCTGCCTTGAGATCATTGACAAGATCCTCCCGTGTAGTTCTGGGCTGATTCCTCACCGTTCTCATGATCATTGCAACTCCACGAGGTGAGATCTTGCATGGAGCCCCAGGCCGAGGGAGATTGACAGTTCTTTTGTGTTTCTTCCATTTGCGAACAATCGCACCAACTGTTGTCACCTTCTCACCAAGCTGCTTGGCAATGGTCTTGTAGCCCATTCCAGCCTTGTGTAGGTCTACAATCTTGTCGCTGACATCCTTGGAGAGCTCTTTCGTCTTGGCCATGGTGGATAGTTTGGAATCTGATTGATTGTTTGCTTCTGTGGACAGGTGTCTTTTATACAGGTAACAAGCTGAGAATAGGAGCACTCCCTTTAAGAGTGTGCTGCTAATCTCAGCTCGTTACCTGTATAAAAAACACCTGGGAGCCAGAAATCTTTCTGATTGAGAGGGGGTCAAATACTTATTTCCCTAATTAAAATTGAAATCAATTTATAACATTTTTGACATGTGTTTTTCTGGATTTTGTTGTTGTTATTCTGTATCTCACTGTACAAATTAACCTACCATTAAAATTAAAGACTGATCATTTCTCTGTCAGTGGACAAACCTACAAAATCAGCAGGGGATCAAATATTTTTTTCCCTCACTGTATGAGGGTGTGGGTAGCCCAGCCGAATTTGTCTCCTAAATGGCAATATTCCAACATCGTACCAGTTACTATTTTGAGACTAAGTCGACCTAGCTGAGGCCCAGGACATTATCGGGAATTGAACTCGGATCACCGGATTCGAAAACATAAGTAATAAAATACATTATCAGACAATACGCCTCCTTCACATATTCCTGAGAGTTGTTAAATTCGGGTTTTTTGCATTACCTTAACCATGCCGCACACAGATACAAGCTTACACACTCACGCATACAGCGACACAACAATGAGACGTACAAACACATTTATGAGATCTCACACAGATACAATAACGTGGACTCCGCCATTGAACAGAATATCTGGGGGGGGGGGGGGTCATGTGTCATTAAATTACAGCAAATTTCAATGCGGTGATACGAGCAGAATCACGAAACTTAAAACGATGAAACATAGCAAAATCCACCTACAGTGAAATGTGACTTGGTCCGCAAAGGTATCGCAGCAATGACAAGTCGACACGTCCGGAGATGAAATCACGAAGCCTAGAAAAAGCACTTTCTCCGTAAGATATTTCCTTACCCACAATGGTTTAGAAAGCCAGTCAAAATCCCTAAATCCCAACCGCCGCAATGGATGTTTCTGGAAAGGGTGAGCGTGATTAATTCATTTCTGAAGCATATTTGAAGGCAACAAAACTTTTGGACTCACTGTTGTGCGTTCTAAAGTTTTAAGATTCGCCTTCAACTTCTCCACCAATGCATGGGCTTCTTGGCATGCACACGCAAGGTTATGGGGGTCACGTGGGCGGTTCCCACCCCCACCCACCCTTACAAGGCTGAAAATTGGACCTTAATCTTTATTGATATGTACCAGGAAAGATACATTAAATTTTTTGTTTGCATTAATGTAGGGCTCTATTTAAGAAGCTTGACATTTTAGGACTTCCCCCCCCCCCCCACCCTCCCCTTCCTTTATTAAACCAGGACATTCATTTAATAATTTGAGATGAATGAGACATTGCCTCTCTTGCAAGGGCGACCTGGGTTACATGAAGTACAAGCTTTGCCTGTAACTAATAAAAACATTTAAAATCTGTTCGAAAATATACCGACAACCAGTGTATTTTTTATATTGGTACCACCTTTATATTTTCTCCATTTGGGAAATTACTCTTGGAGCTGCATCTTAAATGGATTGAAACCATTTCACTTGAGAAGCTGATTGGCCGAGAGAAGAGCTTTGCAATCTTTTGATTTAAAGCTTTCGTGACTGCAGGGATTCATATTTTTGGTGGTTCTTTCGGTAAAGTCACCACCACGTAGAAGGGAAACAATAAAATAATACAAATATAAAACAATAAAATTCTCACGACGTTTCGAACACAAGTAATCATCATCAGGTGTGAAAACCGCAGCGAGAACATTTTCTTCCAGGGAATGCTGTAATTTTCAAATTGTTCTTGCTGTGGTTTTCACACCTGATGATGATTGCTTGTGTTGCAGTCGAAACGTCGTGAGAATTTATTGTTTTATATATTTTTTATTTGATTGTTTCCCTTCTGCGTGACTTTACCGAAAGAACCAAGAATATAGCTTTGCAATCGTTCAGTCTGAAGAAGATAAACGTATAATCTGATTTTTTTTTAAGGGAAAACTCGACCCTGCTGGTAAAGAATTGAGACTCGGTGATGCTTTCCGACTACGTTCTACTCGTCATGATAAGAGCAGATGAGTGTGATGATATAGAAGAGCAATGCAAGTTTCCAGTCTAAGAAACATGAGCATTTCCACGTGCAAATGTGTGCACACAGATCGTGGAGCTACACAACTATTGTCACGCTTTTGGTTAAATGACTTGCAGCTAAATTTTGATTTAAAGCTTTCGTGAAACACGGTAGGACCAACACCTCGGCCGTGGCAGATCACTGTTATAATTCAGTAGGTTCACATGACATTGACTTCTCCAAGACAGAGGTTCTTTGCAAGCCATCTGGCTACCATGAGAGATTCGTTCATGAGGCTATCCACATATACAAACACAGAGACAATTTCAACCGAGAAAATGGATTCTGGCTTAGCAATCAATGGAAGGATTCGATCAATCATTTCGGGTCTCAATTGATTGATCACGCTTATGGTGGCTTTCAGACCGCATCCATTATTTTTCGTCCTCCCCCTCCTCTTTTCCGAACATAGATGGCCTCAGATATAGGAATAGGTTTTACCCTTTTAACTGGCCAGTTAAAAGGGTAAAACCTATTCCTATATCTTGTTACTGGCAAAGGAGGTCTCATAATGTAAATGCTCACCCCGAGCCCTCAATACTCTGATAGTGTGCTGTTTTTGAGTTGTACGCCTTTTGGCGTCTTCTGGTTCAACACCAATGGAGACTAGGCTCTAAGAAAAGCCGTCTCGGGTGTGGACCAATCAAATTCAAGGACAGTGCATATTATCAGAGTTGTCTTTTTTGTTTGCATTTTGACTGCTTGTGTTGTGGTTATTGCAAACATGATGCCTTGAATAAAGGTGTCAGTTTTTGTGCCAGTTAAAAGGGTAAAACCTATTCCTATATCTTGTTACTGGCAAAGGAGGTCTCATAATATAGATGGCCTCGTCCATCTGAACAAACTGCCAAATCGCTCTCCGTGGTGCTAACGTTAAAATAACCGCCACTTTTTTCTAATTTTCTTGTTGTGGTTTTCACACCTGATGATGATTGCTTGTGTTGCAGTTGAAACGTCGTGATAATTTTATTGTTTTATATTTTTATTATTTTATCGTTTCCTTTCTACGTGACTTTACCGAAAGAACCAAGAATGTGAATCCCTGCAGCTGTATAAATCACCACATGTCACACTACTGAAAGATGAACTAAAAATGTGAAACTAAACAATTTTTATTTTCCCAGGTAAGGCCCACTGAAGCTATATAGCTATCTTTCAGAAGCAACGTGGCCACAAATGATAGCTCAACAAAGTGGCTTATCACGTGGACATTTATAGCAGCAAAATACTCTAAACGCGTGACGTTGATTCTAAATTTGGAGGGAAAAACCGGAGGACCCGGAGAAAATTCCACGTGACCACGGAGAAGAAAATAAACAGCAGCAGGCATCAGGATCGGGATCGAACACACGACCTCCTGTATACCAGGCAAGTTAGTTAACATCTCGCCACGTCAACGACCACGGTGCGCCACCGTCGTTGAGACATCTTCTTCGCTGGAATCCAGGAAAGTAATGACGTAATTAAAGTCTCCGAGTGGAAGATAACGTTTTGGAAGTGTCTCATCTGGTAAGCAACCAGGTCACTCCTGACCACCTGATCTGGGCCTCTAGGAGTCCAGGCGCCCAACGCTTGACGCGTCTCCTCCACGCGGTCAGCGCCTCGGCGTCCTTCCTCGATGCCGTCCTGCCATTTGATCCGCGTCGGGCAACGCAGGGGGAATGTGCTTGGGTTGCCTAATGTGGCTATCGTGGTTCGTCCACGTTTCACGTGCGTTGCAGTCGACGTTATACCACAGTCGAAGATTCCCCTCTTTCCCCCCCACCATAGCTTTGAAACAGACTGTTGGCGGAAGATCTGTTAGCGAGCACCCATGACGGCCGGCACGACACACGAGAGAGTGGGTGGTCGCACACCACGGCCGGCCACCTTTGTCTTCAAAATGCTGATTTTACACACTGCACCAGGGTACTCATTTAAAGGCCGAGTTGACCTTGGGGAGGTCACGGACCAGTTCAGATATTCATCACCAATTTTTGGCTGAGGATGGTAATCCAACCTGCATCGCCAGGTTCATTGTGCAATGCGCTAACCACTGCGCCGCCAAGTACAAAGATCCCTCCCCCGCCACCACATGTGCTTAAACCATACACCCACACACCACATACATGACACACACGCAACCAGGTGTCTCAGCGGCAGAGTTGAGTGGCTCGCACTCCTGTTAGAGGATTAGCTCAGCTCATCATCCCTGCAGGGTCAATAAAATAACTGCCGCTGTGTGGGGAAGTCAACACTGGTTGTCTTATGGATAGACTCGCCGCCCCCCTCCCCCGCCATAAGGATGTGGAATTTTCATCATTATGGCTCAGGGCTATAAATAGGAGATGAACACTGCCTCGATGTTTGACACACGCACTCACTGTACGTGATGCGCATTGTGACAACACCAAGGCATCGTCACCCCAGCGAGCGGTGGAAATTCCACATTCCATCGACAGGGGCAACAAAATACAAACAAAAGTAAAACCACTGTTGAATTCCCACATAGTCAGTGGCGTAGCTGCAACTGCACCGGGACTCATGTGCCAGAGGGCCCCACGAAGAGGAAGGGGGGTGGGGGGGTAAATTCAAAACCTTGCACCAGGGCCCATGCTAATCACGCTAAGCTACCTTCACAAAGTGGTAGTCCGTTTAACAACCCCCAGAGGGAAGATGATGATGATGAGCTGAGTGGACCCCGCTCCGGAATATGAATTCGCAACCTTTAAAAGTGCGAGTCGAATCCTCGGGTCATTGCAGCATCCTGCCTGACAGCCCTGGACACCGTAGAAAAGAAGCTGCCTCAATATAGTTCGGCTCGGCTTTTTTTCTTCTACAAAATGACCGAGCTGAAGGCTTGTTAAACGTCGTTTTTACAATCTTCTGTAGACTAATTTTTGTTTTAAGACGAGAGGGAATGCGGCAGGGTTAGCGTACCCGCGAGGCTAAAAATACGTTAATAAATAAATAAGACCCCGTTTCCCAATAGACAAATTTGGCCTGGGAATATATTTAGCCCTCAGAGACACCGTTGGGGTCGTGGAATAAAAACACAGACTCTGGACTGTGCTTGCTGCGTGGTGGCATCATCCTCAAGCCATGGTCCTCGTGCAGCAGATCCAGTCAGCGTCCTTTATTTAAACAGACTTAGAGCCCACATCCTTTATTCTAACCACATCAGCATCCTTCAATTAACCAAGCGAGGACCCCAATAAACCACTTTTCTCTTTTTCACGACAGCCCAACCTGTTTCACGTGATACAGATGCACACTCTTATTGTGCTTTAAGAGTATGCCTGCGGCTGCATGTCGTTTTTTTTCAAATTCTGTATGTCATAGGAGTGTGACATTTTTCACCTCTGCTGTGGGGCAGTGAAGTATCAAAGCAAGCATTGCCCCGTGCTCGTTTGAGCAGGAAGCGAATCTAATGTTTGACTAAAATAAACGGCGCCTCTGACCAAACCACCGAGAATGCGCCCCTGCGTAATCAGATCAGATCCTGCAAGCTAAGCAGGTTTATAACCTGAAAGTGTTTGCATGGGCTGCCGACACGCATTAACTGCGCATGTCTTATAGGCTGCAGTGCAGTAAATCCACAATTGTACTGTACTAGACTCCAACATCTATGCTCCACGCCTTCCCCAACCGGCGTCGATCGGCACTGGTGAAGTATGGTCATATGACCCCCAAGATACGCATGATCTCGTCCAGCCGCAGATTGACTGTATTAATGTACATAAGTAATAATTATTATAGTGAGTAGTAATTGGTATATTACAGGCCTACGGGTACCTACGCGACTTTACCGAAAGAACCGGAGAGTATTGGGATTGCTGCAGTCACGAAAGCTTCAAATCTAAATTATTATAATGATACAAGGGGGTTGGGCTGGTGGAATAATTTCCACCCTTTATTAAAAACATGCAGGCATCAGCCCATTGAGAAGGGCATCTCTTACCCAAGGGCCACCTGGTTAATACAAATGCAGAAATACAGGCCCATGGCGTAACAACACTGGGTACGGAAAATGTTACACAAATTAAACCAAATTTAGATTTAAAGCTTTCGTGACTGCATGGATTCATCTTCTTGGTTCTTTCGGTAAAGTCACCACCACGTGGAAAGAACCAAGAAGACAAATGATACCGTTAATATTTCTGGAAAGATACAAAAACAACACACTCGCATGCAAAGCTTAATTAGACGTGGCCAAAGCTTTCTGTTCGACAAAGGACTTTGTCTGCACCATCCACGTGTTGCAGTCAGTCGGTCTTTACCACGCACATTGACGCGGGTGGACTATCCCTATACCACTAAAGCTCAGTAATTCAAGTCTGTAAATGACGAGAAGCCCCATGTCCACGCAACGTACAGATTCGCGTGTTGTTAAATCTACCACCGTTCGTCCCAACGCTGGCTTCTACATCTCTCGCTCTCTCGTACAAAGACAAAGATCCCGCGCGCAGCCTTCACAGACTGGCGGGGCGAGTGCTGTTAGCGAGCACCTATGAAAGACGGCACACGAGGGGGTGGTGTGTGGCCAGCATCGAGCCCGACCGCCTTTGTCTCCCTATAGTGACGATGTTTACACACCGCGCACCAAGGTACTCATTTGAGGCTGAGTCGACCTAGGAGGGGTTTGTGCCCAGGACCGGTTTCAGCTAAACGGGACACGAACTCTGGTCGCCCGGGTTCATAGCGCAGCACCCGCACCAAGCTACAGAGGCCGCAGTGAGACGATGAGAGCCTTGTAAACGTTACCTGCCCGGAGCCGTGTTCCCGTTGCGGAGAGGAGTTGGATCCAACAGGCGTGTGGTCGAGGAGAAGCGGCTGGGAGTGCGGAGAGCGGCGGGGGGGGGGATCTGTGGAGGGAGAGACTGGCGGTGTGAGAGTGGTCACTGTGGAGGGAGAGGATGGCAATGAGTGGAGTCTGTGGAGGGGCACGCTGGCGGTGTGAGAGTGGGGTCACTGTGGAGGGGGAGGATGGCAATGAGTGGAGTCTGTGGAGGGGCACGCTGGCGGTGTGAGAGTGGGATCAATGTGGAGGGAGAGACTGGCGGTGTGAGAGTGGTCACTGTGGAGGGAGAGGATGGCAATGAGTGGTCTGTGGAGGGGCACGCTGGCGGTGTGAGAGTGGGGTCACTGTGGAGGGGGAGGCTGGTGGTGTGAGAGTGGGATCACTGTGGAGGGGGAGACTGGCGGTGTGAGAGTGGTCACTGTGGAGGGAGAGAATGGCAATGAGTGGTCTGTGGAGGGGCACGCTGGCGGTGTGAGAGTGGGGTCACTGTGGAGGGGGAGGTTGGTGGTGTGAGAGTGGTCACTGTGGAGGAGAGACTGGCGGTGTGAGAGTGGGGTCACTGTGGAGGGGGAGGCTGGCGGTGTGAGAGTGGGATCACTGTGGAGGGGGAGACTGGCGGTGTGAGAGTGGGATCACTGTGGAGGGGGAGGCTGGGGGTGTGAGAGTGGGATCACTGTGGAGGGGGAGTCTGGCGGTGTGAGAGTGGGATCACTGTGGAGGGAGAGACTGGTGGTGTGAGTGTGGGATCACTGTGGAGGGGGAGACTGGCGGTGTGAGAGTGGGGTCACTGTGGAGGGGGAGGCTGGGGGTGTGAGAGTGGGATCACTGTGGAGGGGGAGGCTGGCGGTGTGAGAGTGATCACTGTGGAGGGGGAGACTGGTGGTGTGAGAGTGGGATCACTGTGGAGGGGGAGGCTGGGGGTGTGAGAGTGGGATCACTGTGGAGGGAGGCTGGGGGGGGGTATGCGAGGCATGTCTGTGTGGAGGGAGGCTCCTCTCCGGGTAGCGATGGGGGGGGGGGGGGAGGGGGGGAATGCTATAGATATTCTCGTCGCATCTTATGAGTGCTAAATATATTCTTGGTTCTTTCGGTAAAGTCACGTAGAAGGGAAACAATAAAATAATACAATTATTGTTTTATATTTTTATTATTTTATTGTTTCCCTTCTACGTGGTGACTTTACCGAAAGAACCAAGAATATGAATCCCTGCGGTCACGAAAGCTTTAAATCAAAAGTGCTAAATATGTTGTGCTTGTAGTAGCTGGTCGCTCATAATGTCTGTTTCTGTACAGCCACTGGGCCACTCTCACCGAGATTCTAGGTTTGAAGCCAGCTGGTTCAGTCACATGTGATTAGACGCAGTTCTCAATTGTATCGAGTTGATGTTGTCAGTGTATCAGTATGCACTGTATGTTGGATTTCTTTCGCACCGTACCTAGCCATCCGTGCTAATCGGAGGTGCGGGGGAAGGACAACAAACAAAACACAAAAATCTGTTCTCAAGAAATGCGTTTTAAATCTTGATGACTTAAAAGTCCATTGCTCCAGTGGCTTCCTAATATCGTAAGGAAGAGCGTTCCAGACGGCCGCAGAAGCGCATCTGAGCGCGCGCGACGCAGTGCCTACCGTCTTTGTCCGATGGCTCAGCCTAGGATGACCACCGGAGTTCGCGTGGTGGTTTCTGCTCCTCGTCGAAGTCAGCAAGGTATTGTGGTTCATCTGTGGCAAGCACTTTGTGTGTAATAAGTGTGACCTTACAACAATGACACTTAATGAATGCGACTCTTAACATCAACACAGCATCATGGAACAACTCGCACAGCACTGACAACCCACAGTGCGCAAGACTGCACACGCACAGGCACAAAACTATTGCTTTATGTAAAATGTGTCTCCTTAACTTTGTTAACCACCAGCTCTTAGTAACAGGGCAAGTGAGAAAGTGTACCCCGATTGTATAAATATAAAATAGAATCACTGGATTCAGTGAATTCGGTGATATTTTTTCCACGGATCATTCTCTAAAATGGAGTATGCCCCAGTGAACATGGAACGTTGTTGAGTCAACAACATCCCAAAGTGGGCCCAACCGTGCATATTTACTGGGGCACTGCTTTTCAAAGTTTCCGAATGAACACATCGAAATTGGGAAAAACAAAATAAGTTATAACCGACCACGTAGGTAAGTACAGTTATATGATTCGTTATTTATATTTCGTTTGGGCATCAACATTATGTCACGTTCCCGAAAATAAATTTTGAATCAAAACTAAGTCTGTCACCTGCTAGTCTTGCTTGAACTCTGTTGGTGGCTGATTTGCATGAAACTTAACGCTATGGGTCCCCACTAAACAATTGTGATTGTATGTATGTGTAGAGACAGTGTGTGTGTGGAGACAGTGCAGGTGCAGGAACAGTACTTGGCCTAGTGGTCACGAGGGGGTAATTACAGGGTTGGACCTCAACAGAGAGCGAGTTGTGAGAAGGGGGGAACCAGATGGGAAGTTCGGGAACATGCGAGAGAGTTCTAGAAAGGGGGCGTGGCTGGGGGCGGAGCGAGGGCCACGCCGGGAATAAAAGGAGGCGAGAGGCAAGGTTCGAGGCTGCCGTGGGATCGGGGTTGACTGTCGTCGCTGTCTTCGCGTCGTTGCCACTTGCATGCCATCCCTGGCCCAAGTTATCTGCGTAAAAGCGCCCTTAATAAGAAATAAAGACACCACTAAAGTTGGTGTTGTCCGAGAGTCATTACATACGTACAACTACTTCGCGTCGTTGCCACTTGCATGCCATCCCTGGCCCAAGTTATCTGCGTAAAAGCGCCCTTAATAAGAAATAAAGACACCACTAAAGTTGGTGTTGTCCGAGAGTCATTACATACGTACTACTTTCGCAACGTTCGGAGCCAACCGTGCTAATCGCATCTTACGAGAGCCGTCTAATACCCGTCCACCGATCTGAATCAAATAAGGCGGCAATATGGACTGGCTTTGGATCTTTCTCCCACTTCTTTTGAGGATATTTGATAACTTGCTTTAGTTTGGCTGTTCAAGCCTTTGGCGTTTACATTGAAATGTCAAAACCCTGAACATCGTCTGACGTGTCTTGGGCAAATAACTGATTGCAGAGAACCCGTTGTTAAATAGGCTGGTTGCAAATAAGGGGGCCGTCCATAATGATGTCACCTAGGGGAGGGGGGGACAGTCAGACATTTGTGACGATGTGTGACGAGGGGGGGGGGGGGTGAGAAACGTGACGTCACATCAAAATGCGTAACTTTAAATAAATATAGACAACACGTTCTACTTAATTAAATATACTTTTTAATAAATGTTTTCTCCAACAACATCAGAGTGCAGCGCCACATTAAATACGTACTACACTGACAATAGGTTAAAGCGATTTGAAGCATGTTTTATTTGGGGGGGGGGGGCAGAGCTTTCTGACGTCATATTTGAGGGGGGTCTGACTTTTTGTGACGTCTGTGACGAGGGGGGGGGGGGGTCAAAAATCGTCCAAAATCGCGCGACGTCATTTATGGACGGCCCCTTAGTTTATTTTTAAAATGTATATTCAGAGCAATAATGTAACCCTTGTAAATTGAACAAAGCCGTACAATCTCGACAGAATCAAATACAAGACAAGAGTGCAAAACGAGAAAAAAAAGATTTGACTAGAGTCGTGACTCTCAAACATGACAGATCAATACATTTGCTGGTGGGGTGGAATCATTGCAGGTCTCATTTATAATAAAGGTTTTTGGGTTTGATCGCGTAAATGTGTCGTGAAACCCAACCACCACCCGACATTGGGTCAAACTTAACATCTCTTAATGTTCGACGGCTTGTGCACCAGATCTTATTTATTCACGATGTACTTACAAAAAATTCCGCAGACTACCTACTGGATCTCCTCTGCTTCAGAAGAACCAATTTGACCTCAGGTCTTCGCTCATTTACCAGCTTCACATTCCCTATTGCCGTACAAAAACTGGAGGAAGGGCCTTTGCTATTGATGCCCCCAGGGTCTGGAATGCTATTGCCAATAAACTGCAACTTGAATCACTACCTATGAGATCTTCACTCAAAACTGCTCTAGAGGAGTTGTACAACCCTAGCTGCCACTGCTATTCAGTGGCCTAAAATATGGCTCCAGATTTTGGTGTTATAATTTATTTATGTAGTTTATTGTTAAAAATTCGGTCACAGTCCCTATGATCACTGTTACATTGGATTTATGGCTTTTATTTTGGTGATTTCGAAAAGTTTTTTTTTTGTTTTGGCCATGTTTTTGTTTATTGTAGTACGGAGTTAGACTGATGGCTATAATCTTAGTTGTCTTGTGGTTGTTGTTGTTGTTATTTGACTTGCATCCCACTGGGATTTTTGCACACAGCGTTGGTGTACGGTGCTATTTCAGGAATATTTTGATATTTTTTTCCTGTATTTTCTGTTTGCACAGTCACATAATCACTTTAAGATGTTTTCTTGTTCATGTTTTTTGTTTGTTGCGGTTGCACCCGATTCAAGAGCCGAATGGCTCACAGGGCTATACCAAACAAATGAACTATGAACTAAACTAACTAACAATGACACATCCCATCCGTTAGATTTATCACGTGAACAAAACGTGCCAAATTAGCTATTACGTTAGCACATCGATGCGATGGCGAGCAAATACACATTTACGAAAAGCCAACGTGTTAAATTCATTGCATGTTCTTGCTGTGAATAGCTTGCTGTTAACAAAGGGCTAGTGGGGTGATTGTTGGCCGACAGGCGCGAGGTTGGCGGCAGGGAGGTTGTGATGTGGCCAGCCATCCACAGGGTGTCACTGTGGCGCTCCATGAACAGACTTTCTCTTGACAGCACCCACAATTATTTTGCTTTTATTGAGTTTGGAAAATTCATTTCTGGATGTCATAACTAGACGTTAGAAGCTCCTATTTGACATAAGCCATATTTTTAGATGACGTGTAGATTGAGACAAGTGATACCATCTGCCGAGGAAGTGCGCACGGATGCCATGGTGGCGAGATGTTAACTACCTCGCCTGGTGTACCGGAGGGTTGTGGGTTCGATCCCGATCCCGATCCCGATCCCGATCCAGACCCTGACCTCTGTGTTTTTGGAGTTTGAATGTTCACCCTGTGCTCGCGTGGATTTTTCTCCGGGTCCTCCCGTTTTCCCCTCCACATTTAGAATCAACACCACGCGTTTAGAGTATCCGGCTGCTATAAATGTCCACAGAAGCCACTTCGTTGAGCCATCATTTGTGGCCAGATCGCTTCTGAAAAAGAGCGAATAGTTAAGTGGGCCTTATCTGCTAAAGTAAATTCGTAAATTTGAGTGATCCGAGAGCCTGAGACCAGATAATGTTGGGCAGAGAACCTCCCAAGTGAGTTGCTAATGGTGGCGATTGTGTGCAGGCTGCTTTACATTACATTGGGCCACTGGATGGGTTCCGCGGGACTCGATGGATGCCCTGGTTGCCCCCTTCATAATTGTGTTGGTAAGGATCCTTCCACATCAGGGGGAGGTCCTGCATGGTTATTGTTGTTCTCTTTCCATTTGCTACAGCGGGTGTTGGGAATTTCAAAAGGTACTACACTACACCATTGCTCTATTGACCTGGTCAAGGCCTAAAATTTGGGTGTTCATTCGCGCTTCCAGCATCCCCTAACATTCTATCCATTCACGATCATTACGGACCTTCGTGATGGTGAGCAAGGCCCCTGTAGAGCTGCGTTCCAGGCAGTCAAAAGCCATTTCCAATTAACCATTTGGTGTGATGGGGATGTCCTCTGCCCCCCCCCCCCCCAAGCACTTATTTGACAGATGTTTTGCCATGGGCATCAGAAAGGTCAACTTAGCCGGAAACACGCTCCCAATTGAGCAATAAGCTC